TAACCTCTATTTTGTTTTGAAATTTTTTATCATTTTATTTTCTCTTTAAAAATAGCACCATCAGGCTTGGGATTTAACTCAGCAGCATAAGTGTCTGGCTAGCAAGTGCCAGGTCGTGAGTTCGATCCCCAGTACCACACACACACAAAAAGCACAATCAAACGCTTAAAACTAATAAAATGAGATGTAAAACTAAGTAAATAACAAATAAATAAATAAAATGGTGCTGGAAAAAGTGGCTCTTTACACCCCAAAGACTAAAAATTGACCCATGTCCATCACCATGTACTAAACTAAAGTCAAAATGCATCAAAGAACTAAATATTAAAACAGTAACACTGACTCTACTGGTAGAGAAAGTAGATAGAAGTCGTGGAGAAGAGAAGGTAGGTATAAATTGTGAAGACGTAGGTGCAGGTAGAGAGTTCATAAACAAAACCCAGACTTCATGGGAAGTGTCTGAAAGAATCAATAGCTGGGGTCTCATCTTAAAATCTTAAAAAAGTTTTTGCACAGCAGAAGGAACCAACAAAGTGAAAAGACAACTCACAGTGTGAACTGATTCTAGCCAGTTGTCCTTCAGACAAAAGATCTCTGTGCAGACCAAATAATGCACTAAAATATCAGACCCCCTCCCTAAATTCAATGACCCAATCCAAAAGTGGGCAGCTGAGATCAATATACACTTTTCAGATGAAAAAATACAAACAGTAAATAAATCTATGAAAAAATGTTCAACATAAAAATAGTTTTTAAAAAACATTCAACATCACTGGTCATTCAAGAAATACAAATTAAAACAACAGCAAGATTGTATCTCATCCTGGAAAGAATGACAATGATCAAGAAATCAACCAGGCTTCCCAATGTAACCAGCGCAGTGGCCAGCCTTGCTCCTGCACACACACCAGCCGCCATCTGGGACACTTCTTGCTGCCGGTAGCCAGTGCAGGGTGGGAAAAGCAGCAGCCAGCCCCGCGCCATGCGCCCAGTGGCCACCACCAGATACTCATAGCCAGCACAGTTCAGGAGAACCAGTCAGGCTTCTGAGAAATTGTAGCCAACGCAGGAAGTGCCTGGGACCCCACGACCCACTTCTCTGGAAGAACCCAGGAATATGTCAAGATGAAGAAGCAAAAGGCATTCTCTGGCCTCCAACTCATGCAGAGCAAGTCCAGGAAATGTAAACATGGAAGAGGTTGGGAGTTGCATACCTGAAGTTTCTAAAGTGATGGCAATATAAAGAAACAACTTCATGAGGCTATAAAGAAATTAGAACAGAAATACTATCTCAGATAAAAGAAAAAATGAAAAACATAAAGAATTGCTAAGCATCTCTAAAGATGACACAAATACAAAAAATAGTGGAGCACAGGAAAATCAGGGAAACCTTGAATGAACAATACAAGTAAGATTTAGAATACATGGAACAGATTCAAAGAGATATCCAGGATATTAAAAACTGCACTTAAAGCTGGCTAAGCTGCTTGAAAGAAGCTGAAGATAGACTTTCAGACCTTGAAGACAGGATGGCAGCTAGCTATTGTAAAAGGAAGGATCTGTTAAAAATAACAAAGAACCTGGAAGTAACAATTTGATGGCTGCAAGATGACACGAAGAAAAGTAAGAATAATAGGTGTCAGCAGAAAAGCAAGGATTAACACAAATGACATAAAAAGTCTATTTACAGAAGTAATAGCAGAAAGTTTCCCAAGCATGAGAAAGGATCTGGCATACAGATAAGTGAGGCATATAAACTCTAGCTAGCCATAATCAAAATAAATCTACACCCAGATATATAAATAATGTCCCAGAAATTCAGCAAAGGAACAGAATATTAAAAGCTGTTAGAGAAAAGAAACAGATCCCATATAAAGGAAAACCAATCAGAATCACAGCAAACTTCTCAACAAAATCATCAAGTCAAGAAGAGCTTGGAGTGAAGTATTTTTAAGTCCTGATAGAAAACAACTTCCAGCCCAGACTGATGCACCCTGAAAAATTATCTTTCAAAGTAAATAGAAAAACAAGATATTTCCAAGACAAAGAACAAGGAATTCAAGACCACCAAGCCAACCCTATAAAGAATACTGAAGGACATTCTAGAGAGAGAGAAAAAAATGACCACAATTCTGGGAACAGCGGCAGAGGGGCATTACTGAATAGGGCAGACAGTGGAATGGAGGGGAAAAGTAAGCAGCCAATGGCAGGAAAATAGCATGGCAGAGATGAGGCAGTGCACGTTAGCCATAACCACTAGTATAGATGGCCTCAGTTCACCAATAGAAAGAAACCCAGGCAGAGTGGGTCAGGAGACAGAGTCCATCAATATGCTTTGTATAAAGAACACATTTAACCTGAAAGGGGGTCAGTAGACTGAAAATCAAAGGAGAGAGATCAATCCTCTATGTGACAGGGAACCAGAAAGAAGTGGGGGTAGCTTGCCCATCTGCAGAACAGATAAGAAAGACATGGCATTTTTATACAATGGAAAACTACTCAGCTATGAAGAAAGATAATTATGAGGCTATTGTAGGTAAATGTGTGCAACTTGAGATCACGTTCATGGCTGAAATGGTTCAGAGTCACATGGGTGAACATCGTCTTGTTTCCCTATTATAAAACTAAAGGAATTAATGGGATCCAAAATGCCCAATAGATATTGTAAAAGTGAAAGAGGAGGAAATGTCTAAAAAGGGAAGGTATTAGCCATTGTTATGCAATAATTTTTTTGAAATGCTGAATTGTTTTCATATTCTGTTTAGTTTTATTCTGTTTTGGTTTGTTTGATTTTATTCTATTTGATACCTTGGACAATTTCAAAGATAACAAAATTATGGTAGCCATTATTGATTTCCTATTATCTTGTTTTGAAGTCTTGCTTTGCTTTCATTGTTTTGTTTTGGTTGGTTTTATTTTGTTCTGTTTTATTTGTATTATATCTGATGGTATAGGCAGTTATTTTGAAGATAACAAAAGGCATTATGCCATTGATTTGCTTTTATCTTGTTTTAAAGTCTTACAATTGTTTATTGTTTTGTTTTTATTGACTCTGTTGTTCTATGTTGCTTGGTTTTATTCTCTTCAAAATAAAAATAAAGTTAAAGAAATCAACCAATAACAAGTGCTCGAGGGGTTGTGGGGATGAAGGACCCTTCTCCACTGTAGCAGGATAGACTGTGGAAAGCAGTGTGGAGATTCCTCAGAAGCCTGGGAATAGAGGTCCCATTCAACCCAGTTAATCCCCTTCTGGGTATTTTCCCAGAAGAATTAAAAACATCATAGCACTGTGATATATGTGCATCCATGTTTATAGCAGCACAGTTTCTAAATAGCCAGATCTTGGTAACAATACAGATGCCCATGAACTGAGGAGTGGATAAAAAAGTGATTGTGTACAAGGCCATAAAGAAGGATAAATCTGAGACTTTTAGGGGTAAGTGAATGCAACTTGAGACCATATTCAGTAAGTGAAATAAGTCACAGTCACTTATGTAGACATTGTGTCGTCTTCCTAGCATGAGGAATCAGAAGGGTGAGGTCCAAAGTATATAATAGATACTGTGAAATGGGCAGAAACTTCAAAAGGAAAAAGGAACTCGGATGGGTAAAAGGGAAAAACACAAGTCAGTTAGTCTCTTAGTTCATTAAAAAGGAATTTTTGTGTTAATATTGATTGGAGAAATTATGCCCACATCTTATATCCTGAGCAGCTCTTTTAAAGATGACAAATGCAATGTATTAGCTATTGTTACTCTCCTATTATTTTCATGTGAAGTTTTTTTTTCTATAAAATAAAAAAAAATAAAATAAAATCACCTCTTTGTAGGTCCAGTCCTGTTCTCTTTCCCACTGTATGCTGGTTTTATTCTAATGATTTTAAGCCCAAATCCCTCTTCATTGATACTTTTTGTGATAAATAATTTAAATATTTTTTTTAAAAATTATTAAGTAGGTGTGCATGCCAGACACTGGGGAAGCAGAGATGAGAGCACTTGGGCTCAGAAGTCTGAGGTCAGGCTAGACAACATAGGGAGGCACTGTACCCAAAAACAAACAAGAAAAAAAAAAGGCAGAAATTTAGGAGTTGAACAGACATGACTATGATCAAGTGTAGATGATTGTTAAAATTGTGTCTTTACAAAGTGATTAAAGAACACCCTTTAAATGTTGGTAAAATGATAAATTTAACTGACACAGATCCTCACAAATGCAGAGCAGTGCTATTAAAAGTTGCATGTTTATATCTATGGGTGGAAATTTCTTGGGTCTTGCATTTCATGGTGTATTTCAATAGAACACTTGGCTGACTGCCTGTTTATAACATTTTTATTGAGGTTCTTTAGATATTTATCTCAGCAGACAAAAACCTGTTATCAGTGAACCAAGGTGATTGCTCAGCAGTGACAACTTTATCCTCATTTTGACTGAGGTAACCAGCTGCCAAAAAGTGGTTACCATCTGGGCTGTGGGGCCCATATGAAACTCTGTTGTAGGTTTGCCTTACTGGCTGTCAATAAATGGATTTATTCCATAGCCTACTAGTCTTGTTTTTTTGGTGGTTTAATGGGCATACACTGGGCATTCGACAGTATGCTAGATGCCCTTAGTAAGGTGAGATAGAGATACAAACAAATGATCAGAGCATGGTAAATGCAAGAGGTGCAACAGAAACAAAGTGCTGCATGAAACCAAAAGAGCAAAGTGACCATTTTTAAGTTTTTCCTTTGAGTTGTCCAGGAGAATCTTTTAATTGTGTCTGAAATGAAATCAACAGGCAAGTGTTTAAACAGTGTCTTAATGTTTGTTCTCACAACCTTTTCCAAGAGTAAAGAGATGCTGCTCAACAAAATCTCCTTGTGTCTGTCAGCCTGTGAGAGCAGAGCAAAATTTTGCATTTAGTATCAGAAGGATTGGCTGGATTCAGGTGCTGGGTTTCATCTGCCCCTTCCCTGGCTTCACACTACTTCCATCTGTCTTATCTTGGTGCTGATTCTTAGATGGCGTCATGGTCCAGATGACTGCTGAGAACATGGATTCATTGAGGCAGGCACTTCGAGAGATGAAGGACTTCACCATCACCTGTGGGAAGGCAGATGCAGAGGACCCCCAGGAGCACATCCACATCCACTGGGTGGATGACGACAAGAACATTAACAAGGGGTAAATGCAGCCAACCTCACCCTTTGTGGCACCTAGGGGACCAGCTCTGGGTTTTGTCTGCTGTCTACACTGGTGTCTTACAATTTTACTGAAAGCCCATCTAAGAAAAAGGACTGTGTAACACAGAGTTCTAAATTTCTGGTCTCTTAGCTTAATTTCCGAAGCACTTTATATGTCTTTGAGGAAAGGACAAGGGGAATGATTAATGAAACAAAAACATTCCTTCAGAAGTTACTGAGATAATAGAAATACCTAGCCTGATGTGGAGGTGCATGCCTGTAATCCCAGCATTTGGGAGACTGAGCGAGGAGGATCATTGTGAGTTTGAAGCCAGCCATGAACTCCGTGGTAAGACACTATCTCAGAAAATAAAACAATAAAGAAATACCTAATTTTTCTACTATCATTTCATTTTATAGATAATTAAACAAGTTCCAAAAGACTAAATAAATTACCAGGTTCATAAAGCTAGAGTATGGCAAGATTGGATTTCATATCACCTCCTTGTTCTTCAGATCCTGTACTCTTTCCTAGTATACTGTATGGCAGTTCTGTTCTAGTGACTTCAGGTGCAGACTTTGGTATCATTTTTGCATTCTTTCTTTCATACCCCAGACTCAATCCAAGAGCAAATCATGTTCTCTGTACTCCAAAATATATCCAGAATCATACTGCTTCTTACCACTTCTACTGCTATCATCCTTGTTTCAGCCACCCTCTCATTTAATCCAGATTATTCCAAGAAGTTCCTAATTGTCCTTGTTTCTAGTTTTAGCCTTCTCCTGCCTCCCAACTAGAACTATGCAGTTGCAACAGTCAGAGTAATATCACTGCTCACTCACCAGTGGCTTCCAGTGTCATTCAGGGAAAAAGCCAAAGTCATTTATGACCTATAAGGTCCTACACAACCATGCATCCCTTTTTCCATTTTGTTATCTCTCAGAAGCAACACTGATGTTTATACTTGGACACAACAGTCCTTCGTAGCTGACCTTCTTCCCTAAGATAGCCACAGAAACCACTCCCTCTCCTCTTCCAAATCTTTTCAAAATGTCACTTTCTCAGTAAGGCCTTTCCTGATCAACTCATCTGTCATAGACATTTCTCTCTCCTACTCCTGATATTTTCTGCCCCCCCTGAGCTGCATTAGATATCTCAATATCATTGTAACTCTGAACGTAAACACACACACATACATGCACATACACCCATATGTGTACACAACATGTATAAGCACTTCACAAAAAGCAAAACTTGTGTAAATATTTTAATACTAAATTTATTCAGACATCATGAGGTTAATACAAGTTACTTTTGTCCTCTACAATTACAAGAGATGCTCAAAGTGGTGGTCATGAGCTTCCACACATTTATTAGTACAGCAAACAGTTGCTTGGGTAGCCTTGGTCATCAAGATTGCTGCACATGCATTTTCTGTGTTTTCTCTGAGGGCCCGACAGTGTAGTGGGTTTTCCACAATACAGGACATCCTCTAGGATCGGCCATGTGAGGGTAACACCATCTGTTGAGAAAACATTGTACTATTATTCTTTTCCTGAAGTATGTATACACTTTTTGGGTGATTCTTTGTATATATGTATGTTTGTAGGGTGTGTGTGTATGTTTTGGTTTTTGATTGTTTTGTTTCATTTTGGTTTTTGTGTTTTGTGAGTTTTGCTATGTAGTTTAGGCTGGCCTTGAACTCATCATGTAGCCCAGGCTGCTTCAAACTCACTGCAGTCATCCTGTCTGAGCCTCTCAAGTGTAGGATTGCAAGTATACACCACCATACCTGACTCTGATAAAACATTTTCATCTATTTTCCTACATTGCTGTTGGAATGTTAACTCCATGAGGGCAGAAATTTTTCCCCATTGTATTTATTGCTATATCACCAGCACCTAAAATACTTACCTGGCATCTAGTGAATGTTTAAATAAACTGATTCAATAAATATACCATACTTCATTGTATTAACCATTTTTATATTCCATCTATCCATTCATTCATCCATCCTCCCATCTGTCCATTCAGGATATGTCAGAGTTCTGGAAATGCAAGACTGCTCGCTTTGGCAGCACATATATTAAAGGTGGAAATAGGAAATCGAATTCCAGGGGCTAGGGATGTAGGCAGGTGATAGTGTATGTGTACACTATGAGGCCCTGGGTTCAGTCCCCAGTACTAAAAAAAAAAGGTGAACATGAATTCCATGTCCCTGCCAACAAGTGGTCCAGGCTAGGTTTGTAGTTACGAATCAGTGAATGTGTCCATGTATGAAAGATGATGACAAAAAAACTCCTGTGTAGGATATAAAGATTTTAAAAAGAAGAAAACAGTAAACATGGTAGATGTGGCAGGACAGTGTTCACAAAAGACTCAACAGAGATGTAGCTGGTGCTTTAGCTTACCTGACAGAAGGAGTGGGTCTTTGCTACACAGCCATGACGGAGGCCTGTTGCACACTGAGGGAATTAGGAATAAAGAAAGGGCATTTAGGGCTGGGGATTTAGCTCAGTGGCACAAGTGCCTGCCTGGCAAGTGTGATGTTGTGAGTTTGATCCCTGGTACCGAAAGAAAAAAAAAAAAAAGGCATTTATAAATGCACATAGCATGCAGATTTGTTTAACTAAAACTTTTTTTAAATTGAAACAGTTTTGTTTTCCTTTCTTCCTCCCTATCAAACTCAAGGCTTTGAGCATGCTAAACATACACTCTGCCACTGAGCTATCCCCCAACCAAAAACAAGCAGTTTCTAATTAATGAATATATTTACCTATTTTATAGGTAACCTTTTATCTTCCTATTTTTCACTGAAGAATTCTTTTTTTTTTTGCCTTTTTCGTTTTTATTGGTACCAGGGATCGAACTCACAACCGCACACTTGCAAGGCAGGCGCTTATGCCGCTGAGCTAAATCCCCAGCCCCAAAAAATTCATTTTAAAAATCAGCTTGTGTTTAACTCTCTCATAGTAGGAAATGGACATAATTGATAGGAACAAATAGTGCTTAATCAGAAAATCTGGTGCCCAAAGGTGTCAGTAACTGATAACAACAGACTACCTCTCCCTACAGTAGCTACCTATGACAGGCCTTAGAAAACAGGACCAAATGACCAGGGCACTTGCTGGCCCTCAGGAGTTCACTTGGTACTGTATAAATACGATGTTTCCAGCTTGTCCTGAATGTTTTGCCTCAAAGTATGCTGGTCAACTGAGGGTGCCTTTGGGCGGGGGTGGGTGGAGGGCAGGAGACTGAACATGGGTGGAGATTATGCTGAGCATGTGTTCTACACTGAGCTCCACCCCGGCCCTTGGAGTGCCATTTTTGTCCCTGTTTTTTTTTTTTATATTGTTCCTGATGAGTTAGAACTTTCTTATGTTGGTCAACATAATTTTGAGTGAATGAAGTGAATGCCTGATGTTTAATTTGTCTTTTAACATACAGAGAATCAAGACCAAACAGGTTTGAAAGTAGTCAGGAAGAGTCTAGAACCTTTGTGTCAGTCATTTCACACCCTTACCACATAGTTAACTTACTTGGAGTCCAGGAGTGATAACATAGTACTGAAGGGAATTTGTTATGGTAAATACAGAAGCACTGGTTTATCAGTTTACACTAGCACTGTTGTAATTAGCACACTTGTCTGAGTAATTTTTAATAAACATTCATTGAACTCCCAAGTTCCCAACATTGGGTCAGTAATGGAAATGCAGCCCCCAGAAGTGATTATATCGTGCTCCCTGTCCTTGGCAAGTTCATTTGTAAGGCAGATTGCAAACATATGATGAATATTACACAGTGAGTGTTAGAGAGGCAGGAGCAGAAGGGAGATGACTGAGTGGCTGTGCATTCACAGAAAGAAGAGATGCTGGCAGAGCAGGTTTGACTATATTTGCTTTCATTAGGAGCGCCAGCTCCTGAGCTCAGCCTGGAGACACATGCCTGTAGTCTGAGGCTAAGGCAGGAGAATCAGGAGTTGGGCTTACAGGCCACCTTTTTTTTGGAGGGGTAGGAGTAGGGAAAGGTGCCAGCTCCTGGAGAAATGTCCCCTTTGTGTGTGTGTGTGTCTGTGTGTCTGTGTGTGTTCTGATTTACTTTAGTGTGTGGGCCCTTCTGTTAGGCCTCTCTTCATTTGTGAGCAGTGGCTTCTTGCTGTAATGAGGCGTGGGCAGTGAGGCAGGCACCTAATGTAATTAGCAGGAAGACTTGAGAAGACTTGTCATTTTCTTTCTGTTTCAGTGTCGAAAGTCCTATAGATGGGAAGTCCATGGAGTCTATAACAAATGTGAAGATCTTCCATGGCTCAGAGTATAAAGCAAATGGAAAAGTCATCAGATGGACAGAGGTAAGGAAGTAAAACCTGGCATCTTTGGCCTGCTTTGACCACAGCTCTTGGCTAGGTTGAGAACCACATTCCGGAATGACAGCTGGCGCATTCTGGAATATTTAAACAATTTATATATCCATATCTAAAAAATAAAAGTCTCCTTATTGACCTACTGTGCTGTAATTCACTCTGGTATATCTCAGGTCACTAGGAAGACGTGATGGCAAGTGCAGCCTCCTGTAAGCTGTGTCTGCTTCCTGGTAAACTAGCTTTTAGGGACTTAATTGCATTAGGATTGAAAAGAGGTGCGTTTCTTGAGTGGTATATATCTTTAGTGTGTTCTTCAGAAAGCTAGATCAGTCAGGAGGCATTCACAGTTAAATCTCTCACAATATCATGGTCTCTATGAAGAGACTTACTTCACAATAAGAAAATTAAAGCTCATAAAGCATGTTATGTATGTGTACGAATTTTCCAAAGTGAAACCCATTAATCTGTACTACCAATAAAATAAAGTTTTTTTAAAAAGCTCAGAAACTAAGTATCTTGTCAAAATTTATAAGGCAAACATGTATCTGGCCAACTCCTAAGCTTTTTTCCACTAAACTAAGTTGCACCTTAACAGGAAGGCTGTGTTAGGGGCCACTCTGGGAATGATGGTTGTAAGAAGAGAAATGTAACTCCCAACCTGCTAGATGTCAAATACACCGAGTTCATGTCCCCCTAAAATCAAAGAATGAATTCCAAACGACAAAGGAAGTGAAGTAGGAACAGTTTACTGGGGAATAATAGCTCGTGAGAGGCAGGAAGGCGCCTACAGGTAGATTGCTACCAAGGGTACTTCTCTAAGAATGTTTTATAGAGCAAAACTATGAGGTGGATACAGCGTGCATCAAAATGTGTTCAACCAGGAAGATAAGTACATCTGCTTAGCTTCAGTAATGAAGGGGGTCGTGTAGCAAGGGCACATGGAAAGGGTACATTTTGGGGGAAGCCTGGGTGAGTGATGCTATCTGGACTTTACTAGACCAGTTGATAACCAGTTATATATAGTTGGGAGTCACTACTTGTCCCTTGGGGAAACACATAGGCTTAGTCATTACATCTTTATCTTGAGGCAGGCCTTTGACAGTTGCACCTCCAGCTACAATTCTGATGTCTTTATTTTTCTACTGACTTCCTTGAGAGCTCAGTCCTTTTCTGAGTTTACATTAATTTCTGTGCCACCTCATGTGTGTGTATAAATCACACAGATCAGAAAGTTTATTCTTAAAGAGTAAATAGGTAGACCTAGATATCTTAAATCCTTTGAATCTCAGATGTAACTGTAAAATAAAAGACTGCATTGGGAGATGTCTAGGGTTCCTTTCAGCTTTAAGTGTTAGTTTTTGTAATTTTGTGACTTCTGTTTCTCCCACTTTACACATAAGGAAGTGCAGGGCAGAAAGGTGTAAGCCTCTTGGTGACAGTGTGGGGGGCACAGCCTGGGTGTGGATGGTGGTTTCAGGTACTCATCATTCGTACCTTGCTCCGTGTTCACATGCAGCTGATTTTAGTTATTTGCTTTGCATTTTGAGCAGTACAAAGTCTGAAACATGTGCTCTGCAGCCATTCAGTTGGTTGGGGGGCTGCCGCTCCTTGGTGGAGCTCCTTGGTGGAGCAGGGGCCAACTGCTCTCCTGCCGCCTCCTCCAAAGCTCTTGCCATCCTTTCATGCTGCCAGTCTCCCCAAAGCCTCCAGGTGTGGCCATGGAGCTGTCCCTTTGGTTATTATTCTTGGTATGATGCCTCTTATTGAGCAGGAAGCTGGGCTTTGGTGTATATTTCATTGTTTTTTTATATGGTGACTTCATGTTGTTACTCTTTATAATATAGAGGATAGATACTTTCCATTGTTTACAGAGGCAAGTTAGGCATTAGAGATCCTTTGAAGTTAGGTATGTTGGTACATACCTGTAATGCCAGCATGCAGGAGGCTGAAGCAAAAGTATTGCTGCTAGTTTGAGTCCAATCTTAATTACAAAGTTGAGACCCAGTCTCAAAGGGGGGGGGGCAATGGAAAAACAGGAAAAGATAGGGGGAGGGAGAAAAGAAAATAGTAGTAGTAATAGTTCTTTGAAAACCTGGTGTGATAGCTTGCATACCAATGTCTCAGCTCCTTGGGAGACTGAGAGAGGTCACCCAAATCCAGGAGTTTGAGGGCTGCATGGACAACATAGTGAGTCCCTGTATCAGAACACACACACCACCATCACATGGCACCACTACCAACAACAAAAACAATACAAATCCTTTGACTAATTTGTTCTGTGCAGTTAGGCTTCAGGTCTCTGCTCCAGGATTGCTGTGCTTTTGCCCATGCACACACAGACACAGCTCTGGTCTGCACTGTGCTAGGGCCACATGGTGGGCAAAGCTCTGCACAAAATGCAGAAGACTTGCTTTCTGGGCTGGGCTTCTGCATACTTGAGTGAGCCTCTTTTCCTTCATGAATACTCTGAACCGAAGGGTCTGGGTCATACTCTGTCAGAAGCATTCTGGTGGTTTTTATTTTTTTTCCTTGTGGTACTGGAGAATTGAAGTGAGGGCCTTCACAGTGAACCATTCTCTTTGCCCTGTTTTCTATTTGAGACAGGGTCTTGCTTAGTTGTTTAGATTGGGCTCAAATATGTGGTCCTCTTGCCTCAGCCTCCTAGAATCCTAGGGTTACAGGTGTGGATTACCACCCCCAGTTTAGGGTGGAACTTGTAGGTCACTTGTTAAGAAAACTGTCTGTACATACGTATTACCTTCTAGAAGTGCCAGTGCAAAAATGTAAGCATTTTGGGTTCTGAGGAGAAGGTATCCTTGATGATGTAGGTTTGTGGAAACACAGGTACTGCCACTCTGTTTGTGTGGGCACAGGACTGAGAGCAGGGATTGTTTCCACAAAATCTCATTTTTCATAGCCCAAGGACTATGACATCTTGTACTGCACAGTATCTTGCACATCTTAGAAAATCAGGATACTTTTATACAGTGAGCCAACCTACTTTTATTTTCCAAAGTCTGGCCCAAGTAATAAGTTTCTCTTGTTTGGGAAACAGGTATTTTTCCTGGAAAGTGATGACCAGCATAACTGCCTGAGTGACCCCGCAGACCACAGCAGACTGACTGAGCATGTTGCCAAGGCCTTTTGCCTCGCTCTCTGCCCCCACTTGAAGCTTCTAAAGGAAGATGGAATGACAAAATTGGGATTGCGTGTGACACTTGACTCAGATCAGGTAAGGAAGATCTTGGGCGGCTTATGAAGCTGTTCTTGGGTGGTGTCTATGCATTATATATGTTTTTCTGAATTATACTAGATACTCCATATCTATACTCCATAGACCTTCTGATCTGAGCAGGTGGAGCATTCTGATTCTCCCTAAGAGTAATTCACCCAAGCACGTTGCTTGGTCAGACACTCTAAGAGCCATTGGGACAGTGGCCTCTACCTGCCTATACTCCGGGGAGTCTCCTTTCTTCTTTGCGTGGGCTGAGGAGGTCATGTGAGGACCTAATGCCACACTATAACTGGCATCTGCCCTACGCTTTTAACATTCCCTTACAGGGCAGGTCCCACAGCATCACTAATTTTTTTTGGCTTGGTTTGGTTTGGGTTGGTTTTGATAGTGTCTCGCTCTATAGCTCTGTAGTTCAGGCTGGCCTTTTAATTCAGTATTTAGCTCAAAGTGACCTCAGTTGTTCAGTAATCCTCCTGCCTTAGCCTCTCAAGTGCTGGAATTACAGGTATGTTCCACTGAGCCAGGCTCTGATCTTGTTTTCTTAATTCTCCTGGAGCAGGCGTCTGATAACTGCACTTTGCAGCTGTCCATGCCTTAGTCAGGTGGTTCTAACAGCATTTCCGTGCTAGTTTGTGGCTAAGAATTGAACTGTTTCTCTAGTACACTAAGTGTTCTGTCAGTTTAGATCTCCTATTGCCGAGTGGCCCTGTCTTCTTACCATTTTTCCATGCTCTTCATAATAACAACCCAGTCTTCATTTCCCAAGCTCAATACCTTTTCCAGTTTCTCCAGAGGCCAAGCACTGTTAATCTTCTTACATTTCTTTTGGATTCTGGATGCCTTCAGCAGGTCCTCCTGGTCCTGCCTTGGTGCTTATAACTGCTAGCGAGTGTGGGCTCTCAGGGTGCCTATGCCCTCTATATCAGTTTTTCCTAAAACGCTGCTCATGGCCTGAGTGCATACAGGCAGCCACTGGGTCCCAAGTACAGAACTGCTCTGTCAGGAAGTGAAAGGTTATGTGTTCGGCTCCATTTCTTGACTAGTCATCAATCAACAAATATTTCTTTTCTACTTAAGACGTTGCCCAGTGCTTCAGGAAGCACTACTAATGAAGCAGCACGGTGCTTTCTCAGAAGGTACTGATAATATAGCTGGAAAGAGAACAAGCATTTCTCTGTGAAATTTATGGTTTCTTGAGGTCAGGGGCCCTATTATCTTTGAATCCCTGTGTTTTTAGGTGCTTAGAAAATGGTGCATGGATGACGGGATGGGCTGAACACAAATGCTGTTAGAAAGTTGTCCATTGTGTATTCATTTTAATTGTAATATCCAAAGGTTAAAGTATTATTTCTGACTCTCCATGCCTCCCTTTCCAAGAAAACAAAGATTTTAACAGGGTGAATGAGTAGCCCAAGGTCTCCTGATGTGCAGAATGAGTAAGTGACAGGATGCAGCATGACAATTCAGGGAAGAGGAGGAATTTGTATTCACTGTTGGGTGCCCATCTGTGACCAACAAGGACCCTGCCTTTTCTATTTGGTCCCCTTGGCACTTAGCCCTCTGGAGCCGTCTTCTCTGCCTCATAAGTAACTTGTCATCCCTTCTCTCTGCGGTGTAGGTTGGCTATCAAGCAGGGAGCAATGGCCAGCCCCTCCCCTCCCAGTACATGAACGATCTGGACAGCGCCTTGGTGCCAGTGATCCATGGAGGGGCCTGCCAGCTCAGTGAGGGCCCTGTCGTCATGGAACTCATCTTTTATATTCTGGAAAACATCGCATAGGCACAGAAGACTTCATTTTTTTCTGTTCCTACCTGTTGCAACAGCAGTCATACCCAAATCATTTGCACTTTAAAACTGGAAGATTAAGCTTTTGTTAACACTATTAATGGGGGGAGGGTGGAACAGGGAGGGAATGGGGTTTTGGGGACAGGGGTGGGAAAGGGTGGTTGGGGAACAGATGTTCCATAATTTTATGTCTTCTATGCATCGTCCACCAAGAAGACCTGGACAGCTTCTGTTACTGCATAGTAGTTATGCTATCTTTGCAGCTAATCCCCTTCTGTGACTGTCTAGACAAGAATTCTGCTCCTCTCTTTTTAGATTACTCATGGTCATGTGCTCAGAAATACTCAGATGGGTAGAGCCTTCACCAGGATGGGGTGGGAGGGCAAAGGGAAAATAAACCATGAAACATCAGTTTTGCACAGTCTGTACAGAATTGGTATAAAGAGGACAGCTTCACTCAGATCCCGTCCCAGTTCTATCACAGCTGTTTACCAAACGGAAGTCACACTTTGATTATTCACTTTCACTAGATTACTCATTGAAGTGAATCAAAGACCAAAGGGAGCCATGTAGCCATGGAAGAGCTCCACACAGTCACGGAGGAGTTCAGTGTAAGCAAGCCATTTGGAGAGCAGCCCTGAGTGCAGGGTCATGTGAGAGCTGCCCAAGTGAGGGGCAGATGTTAAACTGGACCTTTCTGTGAAAGACAGCCAAGACATTTTTAGTTACTATGTACTAGAAATATTTTCTTACACATTTTATTGAGAAAGCGTTTAAACTTCAGGAAAGCTTTAAGTATAAAAAAATCCCACTATGTACTTTCCACCCAGATTCGTTTATTGTTCACATAGTAATATTTTGCCCCGTGGGTTTCTCAACCCTATATAAAAAAAACAGCTTCACCCAAGTTCACACTGACATCATATTTTAACCTGGCAGCCGTCACAACCTTTGTGGCATTGCCCCCAGTATCCTTCTGACCTGCGAGCTCACATAGCACGGAGCTGTTAGCACTTGCCTTTATCTTTGTCATTGGCGTGTTCTGTGACCACAGGTCTCCCTGTCTTGTTGTGTAATAGAAAAATACCTCATTTTGAGTTTGATGTTTATGCATTTCTGGTCAGGGTCATTTGATATCCATCTGCCTGTCATTGAGTGGTAACAGGTAACCTGTGGTCAAGGAATTGTCTGGTTTCTCCACCATACCTCCCCAGCCCCAAATAATAACCAGTATATGTAAAAGACATTTTCAGACCGTGCAGTTATCTTGTTCATCAAAATGTTCCCTTAGATTTAGTATACACTGTTTCATATCTGTGTGGATGTACAATACATGCAAAATAATTTTTCAGTTCCAGAACTCCATCCATATGTATCAGTTGAGCTTAGTAATCTATAGATAGAAGCCCTTCCTTACCCCCTATTATATTCATTAATTTAATTTTTATTATGATCTCATGGATTGTTCTTTCAGTGATTTTGATTATTTTGGTGCTTATATCTCAGCTTTGTCGGAATGGAGCACTTGAAGATTAGTTTCTACATCGTTAAAACATAATTAATGCTTCTTTTTCTAGCTTAAAAAGATGCTTCAGGCTAAATTTATTTTCATCCCCCCTGGAATCAGCCATGTCTTCAAGGAGTCCTGGTTTCTTTTAATGGGGTTAGTACCAGAAACCAGTGTGTTGCTTTCCTATGATTATGTACTGTGTATTCTGATAATTTTCTCTTCAAAACTCATTTTGGAAGTAGGTGTGGTAATGAATGTCTGTCATCCCAACTACTTGGGAAGCTGAGGCAGGACAACTGTTAAATTTCCAGGCCAGCCTAGGCAACTTAGTGAGACCCTGTCTCAGTGCTCATAAAGGCTGTGGCTGAAGCATGGTGCAGAGTGGTTGCTGAGGCTCAATCCCTTGTTCTTCAGGGAAGAAAATTTATTCTGAACCCAGACCCAGTGGACTCTGTAACCAAGAATACTGTTGTAGGGCAGTTCACTTGTCACTAGCATCTTGTGAAAGGCCAGGGCAGGCCATGCTGGGGTTGGTTCTCTGCTTCAGTGACGCTCCTCAGTCTAGCATAGGCCTGTGGGCAGGGGAGACCGCTCCCTGTGGGTGGAACTGGGCCTAGCACTTGGCCGTAACAGGCTGCGGACCTGAGTTCAGGGCAGTAGTTGTTTCCCAGACACACACCAATGGCCTGGCCTGGAAAACTTGGCTGGGTTCATCCCTCTTTCTCTCAGTTGGAGTGAGGGTTATATTTACAGCTCCCTCTTTAAAGGCATTGGCATTGTGGCTGCCAAGAACTGGAACTGGAACCTTTCTCCTAGACACAGAGGTTTAGGACTGTTAAGCCTCTGCTAAACCCACACAACACTAGTTGTAAGGATGGAGCCCAAGGACTGTGTGTCCCCACAAGCTTGGCGAGAATCGGGCCAGGTGTATGGAGTTAATATCCAGTTTGGGTCTGAATATACCTCAGAGGTTTGGCACTTGTGCAGAGGCTGGTCCTGTTTTTATAATTTTTCTTCTCTACTAAATCCATCCTGCCTTTGTGCATTATCTCTTCTTGATCAATGCAGGCTTTTTAATTCCCCCACTAGTCAGGTCGGTTCTCAACTGAATAAAAAGTCCTTTATTTGTAGTAAAATCACCTTCTGGGAATGGGTGTAAAACAACCAAGACTACTTTGTTTTTTCCTGTGTTTATCTTTGGCTTCATATAAAGTGCTGAGCATCATATTTCTAATAAGGCAACCTTCTCTACTTGTAAACTCAAGTAGTGAGCTGTAGTACCTCTCCTTAACTGAAGAGACATAGAATTGCCATTCTAGTAATTTGTTAAATTTTTAAAATTATTAAGTGCTTGCCAGATGCCAGGCAGTGTTTCTCCATTTATTCTTATCAGTTATTTTCTGAGCACCTACTGCATTCCAGTGGAGGTGGAAGTTCCCATCTGTCTTCTCCGATCCACAATGGGGCCTGCTGGTGAGCCCCAAATTTCCAATTCAGTTTACCTCTGTGCTCATCTGGGAAACCGTTTAAACATTTAACACATTTCAGATCACTGTTTCTAGAACTGATAGTGGTTCTACTTTAATGCTAAAATAGTAATTTAAATAGTGGCCATGGGTTTGTAGGGCTGGTTTACATGGACACTAAGGAGCAGAGCAGGAAAAATGATGTACATTCTCAAACTGGACCTCTGAAGCCGAGAGAAGCAGAAGATCCTTCTGTGATGGACCAGTGTGCCGATCCCAGCCATACTGTTCTGACTTGAAAAGAGCTGACCTTATTTAAAGGGCAAGGCCTTTTAGGAGATGCCTCAAATATTGGGAAAACAAGCTTTCAAAATTTGGAAGCAACCATGCAGATTTCAAAATGATACTATGAAAAAGGAAAAAAATATTAACATTATAATGAACTTGCCCCTTCTGAGCAGCAAGACTTCTAAGATCAGTTTCTTCCATATTCAGCTCACTAGTTCACAAGAAAGTGTGCTCTGTGTTAGATAAAAGAAATTAAAGTCAAAATGATTCTTCAGGTGATGCTTGGTTTCCAACTGCACATGAAAGAGAAATCTCCAGTGTTTGGTTGCAGTATGCGGACAAATCTCAGGACAACAGGCGGCTGGGTGGGCCCCTCCCTCCCCTCCCACTACCCATGCAAGCCTTTGCTGCCACAAAGGCCTTTTTTGAGAACCACAGTCTCCCAAGTCCAGTGGATGGCTTTGTCTTGCCTCAGTCAGCACTGAGGTTTTTTTAAAGAGCAAAGAGCAGTGAAGCCCACTAAAAACGAGTGTGTTACTCAGGAGAATCTTTGGAGCCATAAAAAGTGCCCTATTGAAATGGAGTACTTCTAGTACACGCCTGGACTGGGCTTTTTGGAACCTTTGCAGGCCCAGTGGCCCTTCATTATTAAGTGCTGGTTTGGACACAAACCAGAAGGGGAAAATGAGGTTAGGTTGTCTTTGCTCCCAATGACACTCTTCATTATAGATCACGGCTTGACAGACGTGTGACTTCAAATAAATGTTAAATCGCTGCTCTGTGCAAGTCCTGATAGCTCACTAGACCAGTGAGACCAGGTAAGACGACCAGTGAGATATTGGGAAGCAGGAAGGCAAGTGCAGCAGCTGTCAGGAACAAAGGCACAGGCAGAGCTGGGGTGAACTGAGTCGGGGAGACAGGCTGTTGTCACTGGCCACTGCTGCCACTGCAAGCCCCGCTCAGAGGTAGGGAAGCATGACCTAACCCTGTCACCTAAGGAAGAAAAAAGCTCAAGCCCTGAGCTGTGCTTATGCAATACTATAGTGATCAGTAAGTTGAATGTATCTGCTTTACTTGCATCCTTTTAAATAATCTTGAAGGATATTTTGTACATTTAATGCTTCAAAATGTAGACTGTTAGTAGTTTTGACTATAAAACCTGTCACAATTACAAGTCCTTTCATCCTTTGTATCCCTTTAGTAAAAGCCAAAGGAGAATTTCCTGGAAAAACTAAGGTATGTCCAGGCAATGAGCTGTCTCCAAGAGGAAGCTACAGCCGCAGTGGCAAATGTTCTTGTTACTGTAGCCTTCACCGAGTGCCAGGGAGCAGCGGGCATTTAAGCCTGCTGGTTTACAATGTGTATAGAATGTAAAATCCCTACAATGAATCACACCTAGTTTCTTAAATAAATAAAAGTTGGATACACAAAATTTTACACATATATTTATATATAATATATATATTTCCTCCCCAGTTAACGGTCTTTCATCTTAGCTATGTGGACCAAACCCAAGACACAACCTTCCTCTTATTTCCCACCAAGTAGTACCAAAAGTAACTCCTCTTCCGGAGTCCGCTAGGAAGCAGGAAGGCGAGTGCAGCAGCTGTCAGGACAAAGGCACAGGCAGAGCTGGGGTGAACCGAGTCGAGGGAGACAGGCTGCCACCTTGGCCAGCTGAGTCACACCCCTGCCCTCGCTGAGCAGGAGATTCCTGATCATCCTCAAGTTCTCCCATCCCTTACAGTTACATGTTTTAAAGGCACATCCAGAAATGGTGCAACCAGGACTAGGTAAGCAGTACACAGTTGCTGTGTAGAGGTTAGGGGGCTGTGGGGCTCCGAGGCACACAGCATGAGAGTGTCCTTGCCACTGCCCTCATCTAGGGAAGTGGGAGCTGGGGGAGCTCCTGGAATCTGCACGCCTCTGTGGTCAGTAGGACATGTACTTAACAAGGTCTTTGGTGCTTGTGTAGCAGCATCTCTTATGCACAAAGGTTTCCGCAGTCAACAAAGTAGGAAAGTAAGTTCCTACACACGGCTGCCCGGTAGTTCTTTCCCAGTGCCATGACCTGATGCACAGAGCACAAAGAATGGGTCAGTGTGTACCACAGTTTTAGACAGGATCTCCTGGACAGTCAGGCCTTAGAAGGTTATTCTCCCCCACCCTGCCTGGTTCATCTGAGGAACATGAAAAACTCAGCCCATGATCTCCATCATAGTTCTGCCTCTTGGTTTCCTTCCAGATGAAAGGCCAGACTTTCTCCCTGGAGATGAGCTGGGTGAGCAAAGGGGCTCTGTGGACCCCAGCAGACAGCAGGGGCAGAGGGTCAGAGGGCTTCCAAGTGCCACCCACCTCACAGGCCTCTGGGCTCCAGGACCAGCCAGTTTTCTGTCACTGTCTGCATGTCTTGCCCACTCAGTGGCTCCCGTAGCCTCACCTTCACCTCCAGCTTCCCCCCAGTGGGCTTCCTTCCATCCAGGACCTGTGAGAAGAATGGGAAGGGCGATGAGAAATGGGGACCGACGGGACCCAGCAAAGAGCAGCTAAGACGCCCTGCGGTATTCACATGGTGCATGCATCTCAGGACAGCTTTGCTCCCTCCCTGTCTGCTGTGTGTGGAGCGGTGGCTGTTTTAGTTAAGTCTTTTAAAGAAGCAATGTATGAATCTAGATGAGCATCAGTGCTCTGAAGAGGAGATGAGAAACTTAGCGCTCTCCTTTTTTTTACTCTCAGTCCCTACAGCAACTCCTGGAAAAAAAGCAGCAGCTATACAGCAGAGCCCAAACCCTCACGTCACAGATGGCCCAGGGAAAAGCAGATGACAGTGGCAGACTATGGGTTCCTTTCTTCCTATCTTCTGCTACTTCCTCCTTCCGGCAAGTGAGGTGTAAACATAGACGTCCAGGCTTCAGAATAGCAACCAAGTGGGGAGAGGGGAAGATGCACTGTCCTGGGGAAGCCTCAGCCTACAGAAGTGCAGGAGGGTCAGGTCCCAGCTCTGCCCAGGACACACTGTATAAACCAACAGAACCACCTTTTCCTCTGGCCTAACTTTTCCTCACTTCGCAGAAGCAAGGTCTTAAGAATTCCTGTCTATAATCCTGTACATTCATGGAAGCTCAAAGATCTATCTAAAGGCAAATCTCCAAGCACAGGTAGCTGCATTCTAATTGGTCTCTGATCCAGAAATACATACTTCCATCAATTTTAGCTCTGGAGCTCCTTTTACTAACTCATGTCAGACAGCTGCCCCAACCATTAACCTAGAAACCTAGAATTCTGTGTGCTTAGCTGACAGCAGTGATCAGACTTCTCAGTGGTCTTCTCTCATTTGTCACCTTTGGGCATTTAAGTGGCCCAGGGAATTATGAGAAGAATATGGCTACTTCCTATCCAGCTGGCACTAATTTTCTGGGCTCTTCTGAACCTCTTCTATACTCTACTGCACACTACGGAACACTTAAATTGCGGGCCTAGAAACCTGTAACAAGGACTGGCACTCCATGAATATCTGCTCTCCTTACCAACTCCTCTGGCTTGTCACTCCCATACCTCCACAATCTCTCTGATCTCACACTCATTCTCCAGCCGTTCCAACTTCAGGAGTGCTGTGCCAACCAGCTTGTCGCTTCTGAAGAAGGATCTGGTGAGCCAAGAGGCAGCAGAGATGAGACCGGGCGGGAAGGAGAAAAGGAATTCACTGAGCCCAGGGCAGGAAAACTGAATAGAAAGCGGCAGGGACAAAAATACCATTCTTTGCTCCCCATTCACCCTTGTGTGACTGACAGGCGCCTTACCCTTTGTGGAAGACTTCAAATTTGATTCCTTTGCTCTGGATCACCCTCCTGAAGCCCCGGTGGTTTCGGTTGATGTTTAGTTTGAAGACTTGATCAAATTCTGCAAAAAGGGGAGAAGGCAAGGAGAGGCTTGGCTCCCAGGGATTTCCTGAGGAAGTAGACAAAAGCTCAGGGAAGACTTCCCCTCTAATTTCCCTTCCTGCAATTCAGTGTCTGCCACCAGAAGGAGGTAGACCATCAAAGCCCTGGCCTTGGAAGCAGGTGGTTTTTGTATCATGATAGATATAGATTATACCAAAATGGGAAGGACTAAGAATTTGGAGTAAGAATTCCTGGGTCCCATTTCTAAAATCTCCCTGCTATGCACTCCTAGGAAATCCTTTTACTTCACCAATCTTCAGTTTCCCCAATTATGTAAGAAGAGCATTAATAAAACCTGCCTTTATTTCCCAAAATGGGTGGGATAAAATTAGACTGTAAATCTGAAAGCACTCTTGGAAACACGGGTGACTCTCACTGAGTGAGAGGGAAGAGAAGGAGCCCTGTGTGACACTCACCTGGGGAATTTGTGTTCTTTACCACAGCGGTTTTGCCTTTTTGAGCCTGGTCCTAAAGTAATAAGAAGGGAAATGAGACAGCGTGAAAAGCAGAGGTATACAGAGCCAAGAACTCTGGGCTGAGCCAGTGTTTTGGGAAGAGACCTCTGAGAAAATGGGCTGAAGGGTCTTTAAACTCCTCCCTTAAGGCAGGCCTCAACAGAGCACAAAGTCTTGCAGTAGAAGATGGGCTAATTCTGCCTAAGCCTCACCGAGTTAGGGTAGTGAAACTCAAACCGCACAAAAGCGTCCAAGTCATCGGGGGTCACGCCTGTGAGGAAGGAAGGGCATTGCTCTGAGGGAGTAGCCAGAAGCCAGGTGCTCAGGTGCTAGCTAAGAGCCTCCTTCCTAGGTGGGACATTCTCAGGTCCTAGGTAAGAGGGGTGGCCCTAGTGTTACCTGGAGGGGCTGGCAGGTTCATTCCCCGGACAACGATCAGATGCATTTCTGTGCTGTTGAGTTCTGAGAAGATCCTACAGCCAAGAAGAAAGAGCTGGATGAGAAGCAAGCGGCAGAACCCCTCCCCTCTTCTAGTACCTCTTGTCCAGCTGGGTGGGCCCAAAGAGGAGAAGCGCACAGCCACCACCAAGTCCTCTGGCAGATGCGTCCTCCTCACCAGCCCCAGAGCCTACCATGCTAGGGAGTCTTGCTAAAGACCCTGGGCTCCCAATTCCAACCCTGTCTCATATGAAGCTATGTTTCCCATGGGCTCTGGCACCTCACAGTCTGAAATGTCTTCAGCTCAAAGTGGTGGCTGGGAGGGTCGAGGCCCTGGGCCTGGGCCAGCTGCAAGATCTCCAGCTGTTTCTTGCGGTCATGAGCAAGCTTCTCAAACCTGCCAGGATCCATGTGCACGTCAGCAGGGCAAGGCTCATTTGCTGCTCCCCACCTACACTCTAGCTCCGGCCCTGGCACTCACCGGGTAGTCTCAGCCACGTTGCCCTGGTGCATGAACTGCTTGGAGAACAGCAGGCACTTCTACAAACAGGGGCCCAGCATGACTCCAGCGCCAGCGCAGAACTCACCAAGGCTAGCCTGCAGGGCTTGACCTCTCAAACTGCCAACGGCTGCTGTGGCCTTCCCTCTCCTCCCCAACACATGCCAGTGGCCCTGTCTTCCCCCACCCCCCTTTCTGCCTGTACTTCTGCAGTTTCCTCTCCTGCTAAGTCATTTGAACTTCACTTAGCAGATTCCTGTTCTTCCTTCAAAACCTAACTCAAACATCGTCTCAGGCAGCAGACATCTTAGAAAAATAGGAGCAGTTCAGAAGCAACACAGCACCCACGTGGGTATCTTTACTCCTATCTCTCCCGACTTTGTTGGTAAAATTTCCTAACTGCCGTGAAAGGAAAGTACTGTCATTCCATTTATAGGTAAAGGAATTGTGGTTCATACAGGGCAAATGCCTTGCCTAAGACCACACAGCCAGTAAGTAAAGAACCAGAATTAGAACCTGGAGCTATCTGTTTGGAGTCCCTCATGTCTCCATAGGGAAGCGCTGAAAGAATAGGAAGGGACAAGCACCCCACTGACCTCATATTGCTCCTGAAGCATTTTCTGGAGCTGGGCATATACCTCCTCTGCCTTTTGGGAGAGCCGCAGGTCCTCATGGTGGATGAGGATGAAGTCACCCTCTTCATCCGTCAAGGGTGAAGGTACCTGCCCGGATCACAAGGCCCCTCGGGCCCCAAGAGTCAGATAGCTCCTTGACACAAAGGCAGCAATCCAAACTAAACATTGCTGCAAATTCCACGACCTCCAACGATGGGCACTCATGGCCTCTCACGTAACCCAGGCTGCAGGAACCCTGCTCCTCCTGGTCTTGCCCTGTCTTATCCTTCCTGACTAGGGAAGCTCCCTTTCCTTTCCTTCTCCTGGTCACTTGTAGGCCAGCAAAGCAGACAAGCAAGTGGCAATATAATACCTTTTTTAAGGAGCTGTCCCAGGTCACAATCCTGCCTGTCAGGCGGCCTCCTACCCCTTGCCTGGTAAGGTCTGGTGCTTTAACCAGGTCGGACTCACCTTTGAGAGATCAACAGGTCGGCCAGCTCGGGCCTGGATGATCTGAGCCTCAAGACCCTTGGCTACCCGCAGGTGAGCTTTGGCTTGCTCCAGGTCTTGTCTACGTTTGGCCTGCAGGGCTGCTCGCTGATACTGCAGTTTCCGTGCCTCCAGCAATGCCAGCTGCTCCCACACTGAAGGGCCAAGACCAGAAATTAGGAACACACCTCTCCGCTCTCCAACCCTGTTTATCCCCAGCTCACCAGTTGGACTCAATGACTCCCTAGAACGTGAGGCCTTGGGTTCGGGCTGGGGCCTGGATGAAGGAAGCAGAGGCTGGGCCGGCTTCTTGGCCACTGGGGCCTGTGCTGAGGGCTCATTCTGCAAACACACAGGCAGTTGTCATGAGATTGCTCTCCACTTGCCTGGCAGCAGCCTGCAGACTTGGACACTCTTGAGCCTGTGCTGACCTGCTGTGTGACCTAACTGAGTGGCTTACCCCCTTGGGTCCTACAAAATCTCAGAGCTCAAAGAAGCCTCAGAGGCTCTCTGGTTCAATCTCCCCAACAAGAGGCTGCAGAGTAACTGTAGGATAATGGGGCCTGAACCTGGGCTCTGAATCACAAACACCTGAATCCCAGCTCTGTCCCTGGTCAAGATCTTCCTGTAAAATTCTGGAAAGGAGACCTAACCTCACTGGGCTTTAGGATGGAACAAGGGGCTGGGTTTACCTCCCAGCTTCCATTTGTCCCCACCAACCCCTGCAGTCGTGATCTCTCAGCCGAACCTCATCCTCATCTTCATCTGCCAGGGCTATGTCCTCGGGAGTGGCCAGTTTTTGGGCAGCTGCCAAAGTTGCTGCCACTGGATCATCCTCCTCCTGGCCCACAATAGGCTCCAGGCCAGGGATGGGGGGAAATCCTGTGGAGACAAGAGCGGAAAGAGGATGTGGTACACTCAGGGACACCTGAGGAGGCCGCTGTGGGTCCTGTCTGTCTAGGAGTAACGCTGATGGGTGGCTCCCCAGGATGCAGGCAGTTACCGAAGATTCTCCCTTCTGCCCTTCTGGTGCAGAGACCACCTCAAAGAGCCAAGTCAAGCCTTACTCACCTGGAGGAACAGGCAACTCAGCAAAGTCCACTTTCCGGCCCGCTTGGTGTGCGCGGATAGCACCTTGGTATTGCTGCATAGGAAGGAAGGAAGGGCCTCTGGGTAAGCTGAGCTCAGCTGGCAGGCAGGCTCGCCCACCACACACAAGCAGGGAGAAGCCTGAGGAAGAGGCAGCAGCCCTGGGGGAAACAGTCTTAAGGTAGCAAGCACTCAAGAGAAAGTCTTGGAAAAGCGAGAGACAGAGACAGCTGAGCAGGGAAAGAGGCCGGAACCTGCACAGCCAGGAGCCCACCTTGGCGATACGCTCGTGCATTCGGGCCTTGCGCTCATCCCCACTGGCCCGGGCCTGGGTGCCCGCCTCACGGTACTTGTTCAGCCTTTGCTGCAGGGCATCCAGCACCATCTGTGGCTCTGCAAGGATTACTTAGAGGGGACAAACGGAGGGCATTAGCTCTGCCTGTCCCTCCTCAGTTCCCACTCCAGACCCACAATCTGATCGCACCTGGGGCTGGTGGGACATTCGAGGCCGTCACTGGCTGCACATGCTCCACTGCAGGGGGTAGGACTGCTGGTGCTTCGGGAGGCTTAGCAGCTTGTGACAAGGTCTTCAGGTCTGGAGGCCCAAAGCAGACGTGTAGGCAGGGTGTCTGGTGGTCCTGACCTGATAATCTTCCCCAGCCCAGCCTGAGAAGACACCCTACAATTTCCACACTGACCTTCAGGTGCCGGGGGCATGGCACTCAAGTCCACAGGCTGCCCCTTCTCCAGGGCTTCCAGAACAGCACCAAATCTCTGCAGCAGTGAGAAAAGCAATGTGAACATGGGGCTGGCACAACTCTCCCTCAGGCTGACTCCCTCTCTGATTCTTCACTTCTCCACCTGGAAAGCAGGGGAAGGGATACTCCAGCCCTTCTCCGAGCCGTGTCCTACCTTCCCAATCCTCATGAGCTCTCGGGCACGATCCAGCTCTCCAGCCCGCTTGGCATTGAGGGCAGCCACTTTGTACTCTCTCTGTCGTGCAAGCAGCAGGGCCTTAGGGTCTGGGTCTGCATCTCCAGGGGGAGCAATGCCAGGGCTGCCTGAAAAGCTGGACTCAGGGTGGGAGGTTTTGTCTACAGGAAACAAAAAGCCCACACTAAGGGTCTCAGATCCCAGAGGTCTCAGCCTGAGGACACGCTAGGGAAAGTAAGGACAGCAATGGGCAAGGGCAGGCTGAGAAAGCAGGTGGTAGGCACTGGCCCTGGGAACTGGGCAGGATTTGAGTCTCCAGATACCTGGCACCAAGGCAGGAGAAGCTGGGATGTCCCCCTCAGGGCTCCTGCTGGTGGTTTCCTGGGAGGCTGGGGGCCTCTTGCCTAGAGCCACTGGAGGTGGGATCTCCTCCTCTTTGATTTCCCTGCCCTTCCTCACAGCAGCTAGCTGCAGCTCCAGAGTCTGAGGGAGAGAAGCAGTCTAGAAATCTAGATAGCCATCTCAGCCTGGACCCTGCCTGAAGACAGGCCGGGGACCCATCACTCCTCGGGGCTGGTGGGGAGACCTCCCCTCCACGGTGCAAACTACTACCCCCACCTTACTTCAGGACCTGCCCCATCACCTTCAGGCCTCGCTCACAGCGCCTGGCTTTGGCCATGTCACCTGCCTCCTTGGCACTGGCAGAAGCTTCCCGGTAATTGTGGATCCGTTCCTCCAGCAGAGCCTGCAGGCCCCGAGGCCCTCCAGCCTGCAGATACTTCAGCTCAGGGCCGGGCCACTCCGAGGCCAGCTAGGCCCTTGCCATTCTCTCCCTGTGAGGAAGCTGCCCCAGAAGACGGAGCTCTGGGACTCCACGAGAAAGAAGAGCCTAAAGCCCCATGGTGTGAAGCAAAGACCCACGGGGTGGGGGTGGGGGCCCAGAGGCCAGGCCAGAGGCAAACATGGGCCCAGAAAATCAGTGGGGGCCAAGACATGGCTTCCAGAGGTGGTGCAGAAAAACAGAGAGGCCTTTGAGGCTGGCCAGCCAAAGGAGTTTCTCATGCTGTTTCCACTTGGGCCACCTACTGGAGCAGGGGCACTGCAGCTTGCTGTGCACGAACACAGAAGGACCAAGGCACGCGAGGCACTCCTCCAGAGCCTACCTGATCTGCTGTTAGTAGGGCTGCTGGCGCTGAAGGTTCAGTGTCTTCCTGTCCCTTCTCCTCTTCACAGAAGTCTGGACTAGCTGCCTCATCACTGTCCAGGGGACCAGCCTCCTCATCCGTACCTAGAACCTCCTGCAGCTCATTCTGCAAAGACACAAGTCCCAGGAGCTTGGGGCCCCCAGGGCCACATCTATGACAGGACCTGTGAACAGAGGTCTCCCCCAGTATTATTTCCGAATGACAGGACCTCTACATAGTCCCCTTTGCAAAAACTTCTCTTTAACTTGATCAAGGATAGCTTTGTAAACAGTAAAGACTTCAAATCTGAGAATCTCCAATTGCAGAGCTCAGAGAAGAAGTCTAAGGAGACCAATCTCACTTTCACAGCCTGGAAGACAGGCCTAGAAGGGCAGTGTACTCACTCAAAATCAGAGACACAAGACGGGCAAACCCCAGGTCTCCTCTCGACCACCCTGTCTTTTATCAGGCCACCTGACCACACAGCCTCTGCTGCCAGCCTGGCAGACGCACCAGCAGTTCTGCATCCTCCTCCAGACCTTCCTCCTCTTCCTCTTCCTCTACATCCTGCATACAGTCTGCTGCCAACTTCTCAATGTGTGCCATGGGGAGAGGGGCTAGGGAACAGGGTTAAAGGTCAGGACAACTCTAGTAAGGTCTAAGATGAGTAAATTATAGATACACCCAGACAGAAATTCCCCTTCCTTCCTACAGCAAAGTCCTACCCCGTAAACTATTTTTTTCTTCATGACCTAACTCAAAAGACATCTATCAGGGATACCGTCCTGGGTTCTCCAACAAGTTATAAGTCAACCTTCTCAGTATTTCTAATAGTGATTCATGAATGTATCCACCCATGCCCCAAGCATCTTTTTTCACATTTGTAGATTTTTTACAGGCCATCTGAACCTCAAAGCAGTTCTGCAATATAGGTAATACCACATCTATTTTATATAGTGAATAAACTGGAACTAATGGTAGCAATTTTTCTAACATTGAAATCCTACTGTGCCAAAATCTAGGCTCAAATCCGCGCTTATCTAAACCCTAACAGTCAGATCAGTGAGCCTGCTCTTCGCAGTGTCCCAGCTCAAGGTCACACAAGAGGGGGAGTGTCTTCTCTCTGAATAGTCCAGGTGAGAAGTGAGGAAGGTTTAGAATCCCACCCCTCATCCTCCTAAGCCTAAAACCTCTGTCCTGTCCCTGTCTATGGAGGGAAATCCTACCTCCTCATGTGTTAACTGTGCCTGTCCTCCCTGGACCCATATTGTCTACCAGGCCCTGGCTAGGGTAAAGGGTAGTTAACTGCTAGGTCAGTTAGAGAACCGGATTAGCCCACAAGGCGGAGGTGGTTCCCATCACACAGGTACAAGCTTGAGCTCTTGTGCAAGAGCTACAGAAGGGACAGGGGTATTAGAAGGGCCAAGGGGTCTGGCTGGCTTCTCAAGATTGCAAGACAAGGACCCTTTCTACTACAGGCCTGTGTCTATCTGGCCCCAGTACTGAGCCAGGCCCAGGCTCAAAAACTCACCCTGCCCCTTGAGTGCTGACTTCCTGCTTGTGGTCCCTGCTTCCCCAGTAAGGGCCAGCAGCTCGGCCTCCAGCTCTCTGTCATCTTCTGTCTCATCCATCCCAAGCATCATGTCCTCAGGGCTGAACTCCACAAAGAGCCCAAGCTGACAGCACAAAAGGTTTCTTAGGAATCATACAGTGAGGCAGAGTAGAGCTTAGCCCCAGAGCCAGACTTGGGGTCCCAATGTCCCACTCAGTGGCCTCTTCACTTTGTGAGGGAAGGGAAACAGGCTGCAACATTACCTCTTGGCCACTTATATCCATAGAGAATATCAAGAGCCCAGTAAGACCACACTGTCATGATTACTACCAATAACAGCAACAGCTGCTAGCACTAGTCATGGTATTCTACATGGTTAGTTAACTGCCATAATCCTGAGGTGTTTCTTTTTAATTGCAATAAAAGACACATAAAGTGAAATTTCCATCCTAACCAATTTTAAGTCAGAGCTCAGTGGCAATGAAGAACATTCACACCACTGTGCTGCCTTCACCACTGTCTATCCACAGAAGCTTGTGTGTGTGGCCCAGCAGAAACGCTGTACCCACTGAGCACTAAGTTCCCATTTCCCCCTCCCTCCCCTGACTGGTAAATATTTAGGTGTATTAACTTGATTATTGTAAGTACCAATCCTAATTTTTATGCCAGTGTTCAGAACAAAGCCTGCTCAATGACAAAACTTAAAATATAGTCTTTTGAGTCTCTGCCTTTGATTCTACCTCCTTCCTTGGCTTTTTAAAAACAATAAAAATAAACTAATACTAAGGACTCAAGGCCAGAAGAAAAAAAATAGAAAACAGTCCTCAAGCTCCCCATCTGGTGGCAGCCCTCCGTCCTCAGGCAGCAAGGTCCTCCCATTGGTGACCACCTCAAGTGGACACCCTTAGCCAGCAAGCCAAGTTGGCCTGGACGAGGAGCTACAGAGCACTAAGCTGCCACACCAGCATCTTCACTTCAGAGGCTCCTGAGCCCTCACACCACTTGCATGATGCGGTCAAGGCCAAGGCAGGATGGTGGCTAGGCTGAAACCTAGGAAGGGAGTTCAAGGCTCCTTGGCCCGTTGTGACAGGGCCCTGCTCACAAGGTCCCTAAGGGCACTGCTCAGACTCTAGACTAACAGATAAAAATCACAGAAATGACTCAACCTGACCCAATTTGCCCAAATAGTCTAAGGACCCCCATCCAAACTGGCCCAGTGGCGAAGTAGGCTATGTTCATACCTGCTTGGCAGCTGCCACACCTTGACCAGTGGCCCGAGGGCCTTTCCGAGGTCTTGGCCCTGGCATCCTGGAAGCCTAGGTACCTATCAGGTGGGAGATGAAAAGACTCAGAGAGGAACAGACTATGAGCCCTGCCCTGAGAAAGGTGAGGTCAGTGAACTCCTTACAGTGGCAGTGTTTTCTCCTACCTGGTGAATCACCACCAATGTTACTCAGGCCACTGAAATAAGCGACACGGAAGATGGAGAGCTGGGGGCCACCTGTTGGCATGTAGCCTGCAGACTGAATGTGAACCCACAATATAACATTACTGATTGACTGACCAGTGTGGAAGGTAGAGCTGGGGAGCCGCTCTAGGTACAGAGTGAGGAAAGGGCTGGATTAGGGTTTGGGAAGGCTTTACACTGGTGAAGTCTATTCTGGAAGCAACATGTGACTCCTGAGGTCTAACTTCCAATTAATAAAAATGCAGTTTCTCAGGCATCCCACACACATCTCAAGGGCTCAACAACCATCTGCAGTTGTGGTTACCATGGGATGGCACAGAATGCTATGATAGAAAAACCTGACACAGCACTCAGATTCTCAGGCGTCCCAACAGTTCACAGGCCCTCCACAGAGGATGATACTAGGCCCGAGAGCACAGAAGTCAATCAAACAGGACCTCACCCCTCAAGGAATGTCGACATGGTGCAGACCCATGAATAGACAACCACTGCAGGAGGGTGCTGCAGGTGCAGTGGGTCCCCAGAGATAGCCTCTCAGCCGGTAGATTTAAAAAATCTTCTTGAAGGAGATGATGCCTGTGCTGAGTCATGAAGGCACCAGAGGAAGGCAAATGAATCTCAAGTAGAAGAAACAACCTGACAACCGTTCAGAGGTGAGCTTGGCTGCGCAATGAAACTGAAGGCCTGGTACTAACGGGGCACAAACCAAAATGTGTAAGGTAAGATGGAAGTGTGTGCAAGGTGCAAAATAAAGAACCTTGTAGCCTAAAAAATCCGGACGTTATTCTGACAATGAGGAAAAGTCGCGGTTCCAGGCCTGTGAGTCCAGAACATCATTGTGGCTGCAGGGGGAAAGTGCACAGGAAACAACAGGGGCATCCGGCCCTGAGCCACGAAGTAGGGGATGGCAAGCGGGACGAGAGGCACAAGCTCCAGGGCTGAGACCCGCACCGGGCTAGCACTCAGAGGGCGGGGGCTCAAGTTTCAGTGATTTGAATGGACCGTGGGGTGACTGGGCTCAAGGGAATGACGAGGTCAGTGAGGTTGTGCAAGTCGGGGGGGGGGGCCCTGCACCCTGGCCCGGGCTCGGGAGAGGTGGGCAGCGGGGTCCGCAGCCGGAAGCGAAGCCGGGGCCCTCACTCCTGCGCGACGGAGCGCACCGCCCGGCCCTGCCCAAGCCGCCTCCATCTCCCTGGCCGTCCCCAGATTTCCCCACATCGGAGAAATCCGAACCCATACCTCGCGGCGGATCCGAACCAAACCCGGGCCTCCTCTGGCTCGGCACCGCCCTGCCTTCCCGCGCGCCCCCAGCGGCGGAGGCAGCGACAGGAAGCGCCGCCCGAGAGGCGGCTCGAGCACAGCACGTGACCTCACGGCGGGCAGCTCGACGTGCGCATGTGCGGGGCGGGCTCTCTGACAGGTGACTCCAGGCGTGAGGGTCTCTGTGCGCAGGCGCCTTCAGGCAGGTAGCGCGAGACCAGGCGACTGTGGCGACTTCAGGCTCTTCGGCAGGGCACCCACTGCCTATGAGAGTGTAGTAGGCGCGGCCTGGGCGAGGGTTAGCGGTGTGCAGGCGGCAGCCATGTGGTCCTTCGGCCTCAGGTCTCGGAGTAGGTAGGTAGTAACTCACCATTGAGTTCACGCACAGGTTAGCACTTGAATGTCTCCCTTCCAGGCCGCAGGGCGGGGTAAAACGTCAGGTAAGAGGGAAAAGGGCGCATGCGCCTTGGAACACACTTCAGCGCGTTCGGTAGTGGACTGCGCGGGTTAGCAGATCTGTGGTCTCAGCACGCTGGCACGCAGGAGATCGCTGGTTCAAGCCCAGCCGGGCGACTAGTCCGGGGATGTAGCGCTGTGTGTCTGAGTGTAGTCCTCAACACCCGGGATCCTACCTAGTACTGTCCTACAAGATGGACATATCACCCCTGAGAGAGAAAGCGACAGAGTACCCCGTTCAGTGTCAGCAGGTAGGCTCTAGTCTCGCCTCTTCCAGCTAAAACATCGCCACCTCCCCCTACCTCTGCCTACGTCCTAAATTTAGGTTTTGACAATTAGTGATCACAGATCTTCCAGTTTCTTTGGATGGTTTTTTGGCTTTTGTGTATGTGTGGTACTCGGGGTATGTGGAGGTAAGGTCTGGCTAAATTAGTAAATTGCCCAGAATGGATTGAAACTTTGAAAAAATTCTCTTGCCTCAGCCTCCCAGAGTGCAAGGATGCACACCCAACCTTCCTATCTCTTTGTTTTTGATTTCTCAGAGAGGGGATCAGCTTCACACTTTCTTTTGAAGCAGTTTGTCGCTATGTAGTTCAACTCATGGCAGTCCTCCTGCCTCAGCCTCACAAGTGTTTGGGTTATAGGTGTATGCCGAAACACCTGCTATCATCTTTAAATTGACGTTTCACTTCCATATTTTTCTTTTTAAAGTTATTTTCACATTTCTCTTAAGAAATCTTTAAGATATACACAAAGACATTTTGCATTTACGAGGATGCAGGCTCCACAATGGCAAAGATTTTTGCTTCCTCTTGTGTATCTTCAGCAGCTATAGTTTCTATTTTGCATGTTAACACAACTACATGGACACCTACAAGTTAAACACACACAGATACACTGCAGTGTGGTGGGGGCCACCTGAATATGCCCCGCATTGCAGTACCCCTTGCTCAGAGGCGGCCACAATGCTGAATGTTTTATGTTCTCCTGAGCATTTCTATTTCTACTGTGCCTGTATGCTTAAGCCGTGTGTGGTATTTTTTGCAAGGTTTTAACTATGTTACTGGCCTGATACTTCATAATTCTTCAGTTTCTTTTTCTACTCAACCTTGTAATTTCATCCACTTCAGTTGATTTTTACTTCTCATTCCGTAGTATGATAAGAAGTCCTTTTCCCAGACACTTCCATTACAAATCATGCTCTAAACACTTTGCACCTCACTCATCTTGTACACATGTGAGTTTCTCTGGATTGTATTTCTAGGAATGGACTTGCTGGCACTCATAGGATTTCTTACATTTTCCAGACTAAATATTACTAAATGACCCCCAAGGTGCCTGCTCCTACCAGTGGAGCATTTGAGTTCCAAATATTCTGTATCATCATGGGCAAATTATCTAACAGATGTGGGCTGATTTTGATTTACAAGTGTTTTCATTTGGATGGTCACTTTTCTTCTCTGAATGATTTTTTTTAAACCCATGCTTTTTTCTTAATTGTGTATATCTTTAAAAATACTCTGATAGTCTATTATGTTATAGATATTTTCACACAAACATAGCTATCTTACTTTTTTGTTGTTGCAGGAAAAGTTTCTTTATCTGTGGAAATTTCAGTCCACATCAGCTGGCTCTAAGGCAGCAGTTCATGGTGGCAGAAGACAGCAAAAGGAACAGGTGCAAAAGGGGAGAAGAGAGAGCAAGCCTCTTTCCTTCCATTGTGTTATATGCAGGTTCCCCGGACCAGGGCAGGTGTAGCACTCACTCCCACAATTCCAGCATTGGACCATGAGCCAATCAGAAACTCTAGAAGCCCACCCCTATGATTGTGCTGAGACTTTAGGGGGGACATCCAGACACAAACCATATCTTTGCTAAATTATTTCAAAAGTAGAGACATCATAACAATGACTTCTTATTCATCATGAATCTCCTAAGAGCATTCTCTACAAAACCTCAGGAAATGTAACACTTAGTACTTTTTAGTACAACCGGCATATGAAAAACCAGGTTTGCAAGTTTTGGAAGTCAAAAGTAAATCGTCAGACTACTCGTGAGGATGATAAAGAAGATCCACTATGGTAACACATGCATTTTCATAACAAGACTGGTATGGTTGTATAATGATGATAACTTTGATGTTGACCATGTGAGCCAAGTTCTTGTGACAGGGAAATAGAGCAAGGATCAACCAATACAGATCTCCTTGATTCAGAGATAAAACAGCAATGTGAGTACATGTTTGACTAGTTGAAATGTTGCAAAATGATAATGCAACCAAACAGAACAATCCAATATTAAAACAAGGTCTGAAAATCTAGTGAGGGTCTTGGCAGGGGTGAAAACATACTGGACAGAATGCTTACTATATTTCTAGCAATTCTGTTTTATAAGAGGCTGGGGATTTAGCTCAGCGGCATAAGCGCCAGCCTTGTAAGCAGGCAGTCGTCAGTTCAATCCCTGGTACCAATAAAAAAGGAAAAAACAAAACAAAAAGCAATTCTGTTTTATAGACTCAGTTTTGTTTTGTATCATTCAAAATTTAAGATAAGTAATATCAGATAAAATCCTGTAACTAGATCCTAACCAGTCGGTTCTTTTTCAAGGCAATATGTGTAACAAATTTCATACAAATTCTCCCAGAACTACTTTATACAGATAAAATGTAGTGTGTACATATATTTACATACATGTTAACATTAAATAATGATGGGGTTGATAACAGAAATGAATGCCAGAGGAAGGACCTACTGTTGTACTGTTTGAATGTTTGTGTTGATTTTATAAACTTCCCAAACAAGGAAAAAACAAATTATTTAATAGAAAATTGCAAAACACAAACATAACAGTCATTTCCATTCAGTAAATTTTGCTACAATTTCAGGTGCTAGAAAAAAAGGAAATCGGGTTCTTTAAAAAACAGGCCCATGGACTCCCTTCACTCTTCCTTCAGCGCATACAACACGTCATCCCGGCTGACGTTGAGCCGCACCCGGAGGAGCAGGTCGTTTCTGCTGGGCTCCATGAGGAGCAGGCGGCAGGAGCCCAGGCGCGAGCACACGGCCATGGTCTCTGACATGGTGGGATAAGGCAGCCCCTCCATCTGGCACAGGGCCACATGCTGACTGTATATCTAGACACAAAAAGAAAGGCAGAGGATAAGAGGAAAGGCAGCTCTAAGTCTTAATCTGATTACTTATGTCATCTGCCAAAAGCAAACACTGGGTATCCAGGCTGCTAAACACTCCAGAAGGCATCAGAGAATGAACCACCAGCCTCAAAGGCACAGAAAACAGCAGGGGGAATCCTGGTTCTATTATTTACCTACATATGCAATGCTGGGCAAGGTATTTCACTTCCTTTTCTTTTCTTTTTTTGGTACTGGAGATTGAACTCATGACCTCACGCTTGCCAGGCAGGTGCTGTGCTACTAAGCTGTATCCCTGGCCCCAAGTTACTTTACTTTCATGAGCTTCAGTTTCACCTATAAAACGTATTGTACACTTCTGAATGTGGTGGTGCACATCTGTAATGCCAGCAGTTTGGGAGGCTGAGGCAAGAGGACTGCAAGTTTGAGCCCATTGTGGGCAACTTAGCAAAACCCTGTTTCTAAATCAATTTTAAAAAAGTAAAAGGGGCCAGGGCAGAGAATGGTCCAGGAAATAAAGGAACAAAGGGAGACAGAAGGAAATCTGTTAACCGATTTCCTTTCCACTGAGCCAGGCAAATCTATAGCATTCTGGTCGCTCTATTTTATTCATTCATTCATTCATTTATTTATTTTGGTACCAGGGATCAAACTCAACCTCGCACATGACACACAGGCGCTTATGCCTGCTGAGCTTAATAAATCCCCAGCCCATTGGTCACTCTATTTTAAATATTTAGAGTCTGTCTCCTACTAAGAATGGGAGTATGACAAGAACAAGGGTGTTAACCATCTAGCATGGGGTTTTCTGCATCTCATCCAGTTAATGGCATGGTACAGATGTCCAGGAATATTTACAAAATCTAAGGAAAGTCACTCTTCAGAAGTCTCTTGCTCCAAATGGACAATAAAGGCAAAACACAACCTGCAGTGTTTTTTTGTCCTAATTTAGTTACATGCATAGGTCTAAAATATACAGCATTCCCATTTGCAGAGCTGCCCACTCTCATGACCATCTTGAACAGTTACCAAAGGACACTGGTACCTTTCTGTTTGTTTTTTGAGAGTCTGGCTATGCAGTTCAGGCTGGCTTTGAACTAGCAATGATCTGCCTCAACTTTTCAGAGTGCTGGTATTATAGATGTGCATCACCATGCCTGGCTCCTGACACCAGTTTTGAATCAGTTACTAAGGCCCAAGCCCTCATGACTGCTTTGACTCAATCCAATGAAACTATACTCAACGAGAGCAAATTCAGATTCATCTTTGATTTTTCAAAACTGGCCTTCTGAAAGCCTTGTCTTCTTTGTAACATAAGCTGTGCATGCAGCAGTAACTGCTTTTTCTACCCCTCCTTGAATATCCAGTACAGACCTGTAATCTAACATGCCATGAACAACTGTCTATGTGACCCAGTAAAACATGCTATGAATGCTAGCGGTGCACAGCAGTGACGATAGTTTACAGTAACCTATTACATGTTTCTATAAAGAACTAGAAAAGAGGCTCAAAGGGTCTAAAAAAAGGTTTGTTTCAGCTCATGATTTTTTGTTCGTTTTTTGGTACTGGAGTTAAAACTCATGACCTCACGCTTGCCAGACAGGCGTTCATGCCATGAGCTAAATCCTCAGCCCTCAAAGGGTCTAAACATACACAGATGAGGGACCAAGAATACTAATTACCCTGATTGGATCAGTACATGTTATATATAGATACTGAAACATCACAAAATACGTACAATCGTTATTTGTACATCTTTTTAAAACTATCTTTAAAAATAAATATTGGACTGATTTAGCATATACTGATTGGAAATTCCACATACTTTAAAAGCCCTAGACCTAAATCTAGAAAGATTTGAAAAAAGGAAATCACCTGCTGAAATGTTGCTTCCTCTAGTCCAGATCGACGGAACTCTGCAAGGATGGCTCTCAGGAAGCCCTGTTCCAAGACGGAGGAATTCCTTCAAGGAAAGGAGAAGATGGGAGTTTTCATAAGAGGCTGCACTGAAAGGAACCAGTCATGAGGACCGAGAGCCAGTTGACCTTCCCTGCAGACACAAAAGAAGGGACAGCAGGCTGTTCCTGCTTTGGCAATGTGCCAGTATGCTGGCACAGAGTGAGTTCCAGGGGCAAAGTGAACAACAGCAAGACAAAAAAAAAAAAATACTTACCTGGGTACACCTTGCAAATAATGAGAAACAGCTGAATTTTCTATTAATCTAATTGTTTGCTCCCTTGTCTACACTGAATAAAGATACTCAAGAGTTCTCTGTCCACTAGAGACAAAGACCCCCTGCCCCTATTTATCTCTTTGTTTTTAATTTTTATTTTTTGTACCAGGGATCAAACTCAGGACCATACCATTGCAAGGCAGGTGCTTATGCCACTGAGCTAAATCCCCAGCCCTATCTCTTTAATTTGGTTAGGCATTACTAGCAGGCTGGTTTCCTGCACTGTACCGTCAACCGAGGAAAAAGTTTCTCCATGTCTTTAGAGAAAGGAAGAAACTCTGAGACCCATCTGTGTATTACCTGACAAGTTTCCTTCCTTGCCTTCAAAGTCTCGCACTGATATAGCACATGCCATGCCATTTTGGAAGTTGAGAGACACTGTAACTAGCTTCCTCACAAATGCCCACGCCCCTGTTGCCACAGCTTCACACAGGGGTGGGAACCTATGGCCTGAGTACTGCGGGCTGTACGTAGCTTCAGAAGCTCTAAAACATTTGCCAGCCCTGGGTTAGCAGACCATTCTGTGAGAAGCAGCTGTTTCCTTGTTCCCACAAGGTTTTCCTCAGTCAACTCCTCTCAGAAAGTCAATGAATGCCTCATTTACTGGCTTTCAAATTTACCTGTTTTCCAAGGTTTCTGTTTCGCCCTCATCCCTGGCCCACACCTCTAAAGGACTGTGTCTTTGTGAAGAAAAAGAATTCCAAACGGGGAAGTCAGTTTCCAAAACTTTAGCAGACTAGACTAGGCTGGGCTGGGGGAGAGGAGCGTCTTACTTGATGGCAGTGATGTACGATGAGGAGAACATCTCATCCACAGCTTCCATTAAATGGGCCACAGTGACCAGGCCAGGCGAGTCCTGTTTCTGATGGGAGAACTCACAGATCTCTGTGGCTCGCCGGCAAATATCCAGGCAGCGCCGTGCATCCCCAGACAGGGCTGCCACCTGAAAGACAGAGCATTTTGCTCTAAAGATGCCCTTGCTGTTTCAGCCCAGAAAAGCCCGGCTGAAGTGAAAGGCAGTGCTAAGCATAGACTTGCACCCGAGGTAAGGACTTAGCCCTGCTCCTAGAAAGATGGGAATAAAAATGTATCTGCCTAGGAGTCCATGAGTCCAACCTTTATCTCTGTTTAATGGTTTTTATTTGTTTTTTTGAAAGGTCTCATCATGTTGTCTAGGCTGGCCTCGAATTCACAATCCTCCTGCCTCAGCCTCTCCCTTGTGTTAAGATTACAACACCACCACACCTGATCTTTGTCCGTTTTACAGAAAATTTCACACTATAAAAGATGGAAAGTTCTCAGTGTATTGTTTAAGAAATGAAATTTCAAAAAGAGACCCTTGGCCCAGTATCAAGAGTTGACCATGGGATATAGCTTAGTAGCATAAGCACCTGCCTGGCAAGGGCAAGGTCCTGAGTTCAATTCCCAGTACCAAAAAAAAAAAAAAAAAAAAAAAAAAAAAAAAAAAAAAAAAGCTCACCATTTGGAAACAAAGGGTTCTCATTCTTTGCTGGAGAAAAGCAGCCCCCACAATAGCCAGCTGAGCCTCTGTGGAGATAAGGCTGCAATGGACAAGGCCTGATCCACAGTTAAAAGAACCAGAGCAAAGAATTGGGAGAGGGCAGGAAGTCACAAAGCTAGGAAACTCAGGAATCTGTGGCTTACATGGATAAGTCAGACCAGTCCATAATTCCGTTTTTCTCTTCTGCCGTGCTAGGCATTGAACTGAGTGCCTTGGCTATGTCAGGCAAGTACTCTAGTACTACGTTTCTTTCCAGCCTCACCCCATAGTTCTAATACCACCCTATTACTCCCCGCTTTCCACAAGCACACAGGACCCTTCTCAGCGAATCCTCTGCTCCCTCCTACCACTGACTCAGAAGGCCACTTGCACCTTTAAGTTTCCAAAGAGAATATTTTGGATCAGTGCAGTCTACAGGCTTCTCAGCGTCTGTTCCTAGTACTTGGCAGCAACCTTTGCAGTTTACCTGACCATCACCATAAGCTGTCTGGTGATACCTGAAATGGCTGTTTCCTTCTAAAATTTATGGTATGTTAGCTGGGCATGCTGGGACACATCTGTAATCCCATACTTGGTAGGCTGGATAGGAGTGTTGCTATTAGTTCAAGACCAAACTGAACTACACAGTGAGGCCTTGTCTCAAAAAACATCCAAAAAAATAAAACATTAGGAATCAATCTAACAAAGGAAGTAAAAGATCTATACAGTGAAAATTACATTACTCTGAAAAAGGAAACTGAGGAGGATTTCAGAAAAATAAAGGACATTCCTTGTTCATGGGTAGGAAGAACAAACACTGTGAAAATGGCCATTCTCCCAAAATACTTACACAGATTTAATGCAATTCCAATCAAAATACCATTTGCATCCCTCACAGATCTAGAGAAATCACTCCTAAAATTCATCTGGAACCAGAAGAGACCTAAGATAGCAAAGGCAATTCTGGGCAACAACATGCAGTATTATAACCACTGTCAAATTCTAGTCATCTCGTTTTGTAAACCTATATTGTTGTAGTATTGAGTTTGTTGTTGTCTGTCTCTTACTTTTCATTTTTCTTTGCTTTTTTTCTCTTAAAAAAACTTTTAAAAATTATATATTAAGTCTAAAAATCAAACTATGTAGGCATCTATGTACACAACACACAGGAGTATCAAAAGTTCGAGGCCACCCTGGGCAACTTAAACAGACATTGTGACAAAAACTAAAGCAGGCCAAGGATGTACCTCAGTGATAGGATGTTCCTAGGTTCAATTCCTGTTACGACACACACACAAAATGTCATCCTGAAAGTGGAATTCTATGCAAATTTAATGTTTTGTGTCTGTTTATAGAATTCAAATTCAAACTATCAAAACAAAACTTTTCTAGTAACCAAGAGAGAAGAACGAATATCAATTTATATTCTTCCTTGCTTCATACCAGTTGGTAAGAAAGAATGACCTTAGATATTCCCTCCTTATCACTTCTTCCCCCCATCACCCACCCCAGAAGACCCAAGGGGTGGTAAACAGTACCGACTCAAGAGCTGTTCCAGGGATCTAAGAGCAAGCAGTTTTCGCCCTGAAGATACTCATGAGTCTTGGTGATCTTCAGAGTCTTTCTAACTATGTGATGCGAGGGACATGTGAGAAACAATGAAGGCTGCTCAACACAGAACCTAATGAGGCACTGCAAGAATCTGGAACTCAACCAGCCTCGAGGGCGAAGGGGAAACAGCTCATCACAGAGGATGGCAGGAGAAACTGCCTGTTTTAACCTTGCTACTAGATAGGCATAGAGTAAAAAACCAGAACAAGACAAAACTCCCTGCATTTTTGCAACCATACACCCTCATGTGGATTTGTAGCCCACAATTACATTATAACTCCTAAAATCCTTAACTGGAAAATCTTTAAAACATGTTAACTGCTGTCAGTGATCCTCGGTAACTGCCAGAAACAAAACCAAATTCTAATGAGGGCTGGGGATATAACTCAGTGGCCCAGCACCTGCCTGCCAAGTACAAGGTCTTCAGTCCTATTTCCTGTACAAAAAGAAAAAAGAAATTCTAAATGAACTCAGCTTCAATCCAGGACTCAATTCTCAGATAAAGAACATATCTACACAACAAAGGTATAAGTATGAAAACTCAAAAACAAGGAAAAAAGGTCATGCATGCATGAGAATCAGCAGAACCAACAAAAATTAGAGTCAGACCTATGAAGACTTCAGGTATCACAGCTGAATATAGAATATAAACTGATAAAGCTGATAAAGCTGATAAAGAATATAAACTGTGTTTTGGGGGGTTTTTTTTGGTACTGGGAATTGAACTTTGGACTTGCTAAACAGGTGCTTCTGCCACTGAGCTATATCCTTGGCCCTAAAATGTTTATGTGTAAAGCATAAGAGTGGTTAAGCTTCATTGAAAAACCAAGAACCACACAAAAAAGGGGAAGCAAGAGGACACACATAAACAGCATTACAATTCTGTAATAAGAAGTGCAAGAAAGCCCAGTCCTAAGCCAGTGGTGTGGACGCCAAGAACAAACCTCAATTTCACTGAAAACCTTCAAAGTGCATAGGAGTTAGGGGTAATGGAACTGGAGATAAAACGGGATATTTGGTTAGAAGACAAAGAAGATTGGCTAAACATAAAAAAAAACCAATGTGAAAATTAGGAAAACTAATTTTTAATATGCCTTAGACCACGATTCGACAAACTATGATCTCCTACTTGTTTTTCAAATAGAAGTTTTATTAAAACGCAGGCTCATTCATTTCCATATTGTCTACAGCTGCTGTTGAAATGAAAGGCAAGGGTGAAATAATTTCAGTGGAGGCTCTTAGGGCCTTTTATGTCTCTCAAAGCCTATGGCACGTGTGCTGCAGTGGGCTGTTCATATTATTGAAGCTCTAAAATATTTGCCATTACCAGCCTATTCTATTTACCACTACCTGGCCAACCACTTGTAGAAAAATGCTGATCCTTACCCTGGACACACTCCCCAATTTGTATTGCTGGGTACACAATAGAGTCACTTAGGGAGGCTCTGTAAGAAAATTCGGAGTGTTGATAATTCGTACTATTCCCATAAAAATTCTGCCCTGCAGAGAAAATCTCTCTTCCCTAGTCAGATCAGAGATTTATTCTCAATGGGGGTAACAAGGTCCACTGCAGGAGAGGCATGATAATGACAGGTATGCTGAAACCTCAGTCCGCCTCCCTCACTGCCTCAAGCAAGGCATAGGAAAGCTGAATGTTTTAAGGAGAAAGAATCACCCTATCAGATTGTCACTCAGCAAACAAGAACCACTCAAGCATTTAAGAGTTCACAGCCTGCTTATTTACATTTATGTATTTATGAGACAGTGTCTCACTATGTTGCCCAACCAGCTGTGAACTCCTGAGCTCAAATGATCCTCTTGCCTCTGTCCCCCCAGTCACTGGGATATAAGCACATCCCCAACCACAGCTAGGTCTTTAATTTCCACACTGATCCCAGCATAGACAACCAGTGTATCTGAGGAAAGTCTCCAACAAAGCTAGACAGAGATCAAAACAACGAAGTGCATTTTGGAGGAAAAGGGAAGACAACTTCAAATTAAGACTGGCATAAAATAACAGTATTCTGAGAAAAAAAAGTAGTCTTAGAATATGTATGACAGCAGAAATGAAAAATCCTAACCATAGAAGGTTAGTGCGTAATTTTGAGGATTCCTCTCCTTAAAAACGAGATAAGCACTGTGTTGGCTCACATCTGGGCCCAGTACCCAACTCCAAGCAGGAAAAACCAGCATGTGCAGCACTTGGATTTTAGGAAAGAAGAAACTACAACATGGTTAGAATGCTTTGAAGTACTTAACTACTTGCAAATGTATGGTTTTTTATTGACCTTGAGGCAGACAGTTAACTCACTTTGTTCCTCTAGGCTCTCACTATGTCACCCCTACCTTAAAGTATGACCCCTGCCAGACATACTGCAGACAGGACCTCATGTACCCAAGAGTTAACCATTTTAGTATCACCTCCATTTTTTAGAGATCAAACTGAGATGGGCTAACTTTCCTGTCACCTTTCACTTGCCTCCTACGCCAGAACTCAAACAACGGTCCTCTAACTATGCTACCCTTTTAATTACCCAAATGTGCTAGCTCCCTGCATCCATTAATGTTACTTTGAATATAAGCTCACAATACTCATGGCCTTCTACATCATTAGATAAGGTGGTTAAACAATCTTTTCAAACTCTTCTTTGGTGCTGTTTTTTAAAGAACTTCCTGAAATTCCCTTCATCCTCAGAGCTTGCTGTGCACAGCTCACATGGTGTGGGCACTCAGCAAAGGCTTGCTGACCAGCTTGCAGGTGCAGCTAGGAGCATCCCAGTGGAGACTTACCTTCCTGGCTACCAGCTGGATGGCATCATCCTCGAAGGCCTTCAAATGCTTAAGCCGAGACACAAGGATCTGCTGCAGTTGGCTGTGAGTATAGGGCTGGAAGGACATCCTGGTGAGGCCCTGTGAGGGCCAGGTGACAGAAGAACACATTCACTAACTGCCCACTTAATTGCCCAGGGGAAAAGTCATCTTTAGCCTCTCAAGCCCAATACCCAAGTGCCACATCACAGTTCTCTCATTTCTTCCCAGAACTATTTCAGCAGCCAGCTACTGGCATTACTGACACTGGTCAGTGGCATCTTACAGGACAGCCAATTCTCAAACTATTTTTTAAAGAACACTTTAATTTGCCAAAATCATTTAGAATTAGATGGAAGCGGAGGTACTCTAATTAACCTGGGGAGGAGGATGTCAGGCTCTACACTCTGATCACATAGCCCCTGGCTTCCATAATCAGGCTGTGATTAGACCTTATGCTTTCTGCTCAACTGCCAGGCTTCGAGGGCAGAGACTGCATCTGCCTGGCTCACTGCTTTACTGCAACCACCTAACAGGTGGTAAGTGCTCAATAATTTTAAAAGCAATTGGCCAGGTGTGGGAGCACAGGCCTAATCCCAGGATTCTTAGGAAGCTGAGGCCAGAGGATTACAAGTTCAAGCCCATCTTGGGCAACTTAGTGAAATAAAACATCAGAAAAGGACTGGAACGTAGCTCAATTCATAGTTTAACACCCTGAGTTTAACACCCAATATGCAAATACACCCCAAAACAGTAAAAACAGACAAGTAGCATTGTTACCCCTACGCTATAAGACATGATATGTGCAGAAAATCATGCAGTGGTTTTTTCATCCCACATAGAAATTCCATGAACAGCAGAAACGATATTTCTTAATTTTCTATTTTTGCAGAACCCTTTGGCCCAGCTTAGAGATCTGTGCCTGATAACTGCCTAGGACCTACCAATCGGCTCGATACCCGGTTCATCATTATTCTTTCTGGCAGATCCATGGTGTTGGCAATGGTTAGTACCACCAGACGGGCCTCTTTGTGAGTTGGCCAGTCGAAGAGATTATACATGACATCTTGCTTGTGAGTCCACAGGAGGTCAAGCTGCCAGGGAAGAGGGGAGACACATTGGGTCAGTAGCTGGGCGTGGTGGCTCATGCCTGTAATCCTAGCACTTGGGAGGCTGAGGCAGGAGGATTGTTGTGAGTTCAAGACCAGCCTGGGCTACAGAGTGAGCTCAAGGCCAGCCTGAACTGCATAGCGAGACCCTGTCTTAAAAAGACAAAAAAAAAAAAAAAAAAAAAAGAAAGAGCAGAGTGGGGTAGAAACCTGTTACCACTGCTCTCCCTATGTGCCTTGCTCAGGAAACCCTACCAAAGCAGCAAGGTAGTCCATGAACAGGCTCAGGTGAATGTAGAATGGAGCCAGCAATTCCGGCCATCTAGAATTCACTCCTGAGATGTTACAGTCAAGTGCTGCCCATTTCTCCTCACCTCCCGGGCGCCCTCACCTCATCCACAAGCAGGACAGTGGTTTCCTGTGGAGACCCTCGGGTGCAGAATTGCTTTGCCAGCAGTGCTGCAGCATGGCTAGCTGTTGCCTTCTGGCCTGTCAGCTTCTGCATTGAAGGAAAAACAGCCATGGTGAATAGACTTAAAGTGAAATCTGTAAGAGGAAGCAACCTAGTCTGAGGATTTCAGAATCTTGTTCTCTGTCTATGCCCGCCAACCCCATTCTAGGAGAAACACCAGATGAGAAGATGAAAACTGTGTTTGAACTGGAAATGGGTAGGAGACTGGCCTTAGCAGTCCTGCTAAAATCACCACTGTACCACTCTGTAACTGAACGTGACCCATACTGAGGGAACAGTTAATGAATAAAAAAAAGAGACCTAAGCCCTGGCCTACCTCTCAGCCCTATTCTGTAGCTGCCACCCTGCTACCTGTGGGTTCGTGATTGTCACCATGTTGGCAAGTCCCGACTTTTGGTCACTGCTGACCAGCTCCTAGACCTAAGAGTCCTTGAGAGCAAGAATTCTGTCTCCCTTACCTTTGCCACTACTATGCAAAGCCTACTATGTAAGCCTGTGAAATATGCAGAAGTAAGAAAATGTTTCAGCTTTGCTCACCTGCAAGATCTGCACGTAGACCTGGTAGGGCTCCGTCAACTTCATGCCATTAACCTCAATATACTGGAAGGGCGGAACATCGTTAGCTTGGGCTGCCTGCTGCAGACAGCGAATCACCTCATGCACAGTGGCAGTTTTTCCTGTCCCAGGGACCCCAGAGATGTACATGCACCTAGGGCAAGAAGGGGAGACCTGTAGACGAGGTTTGTTGCCAGTCACCTAATGCCAGAAAGAACTAAGATGCCCAAAATGGGGTGGGGACAGTAAGGACCACCTCTGGAGCTGGTCAGAGTAGGACCTGTTTAGACAGAATCATCCCATAAGCAAGGCTGTACACAAAGCTACCTATGCATGAAGGCCAGTGTCATCCAAAAGCCTCTTGTGCTTAGAGATGGGGCTTTAAGAAGGAGGTTGGATCATAGGGCTCCTCAGGGGACTCATCTATCAGTGAGTACAGCAGCCGTGCTGGGTGAAGGAGGGTGCTACTTGGAGACGGAGGCGGCAGGACCTAGAAGGTTGTATCCCACCCCCGTTGCTCCCTTCCCTCTTGGCTTCCTGGCACCAAGCCTGACAGCTTTCCTCCACGCAGGCCCAGCCACCATGCTATTTCTGCATGTGAGCCTGCCAACCATGAACTAAGAACTCTAAAGCCTTGAGCCAAAATAAACCTCTCCTCTTTTAAGTTGTGTATGTTGGGTGTTTTGTCCTAGTGATGACAAAGTAACTGAAGTGACTAAGCCCATTTTCTTTTTTCTGAAAGGCAATATTAAGTCCTATGGAATTTGGCCATGAAAGCTGTCTTGAAAGTGGTCACCTTCAGCAATGGCCTTATTAATCTTGCAGATATTAAATACCTGATCGGGGCTTCCTCCTCAGATCCCTGCACCGGCCTCTTATCACTCACCCCCCAGTTTGGTCAAGGAGTTTGCTTTCCACAAAGTTGTAGATGTCTTGGAATTCCTTCTCTCGACAAGGAAGAGAATCAGGCACAGCAGAAACATGCAGCCTACAGTTGGTGGTAATGGAAAGGAGGACTTGTAAGCCTGGGAGCACTGCAGCTAAGAGGTCCCAGGGAAGGGTCTCCTCCCGTCCCCCAGGGAACATGGTGGCAGTGGACTGTAAGGTGACACACCCTGCTGAAACGTTTCTGAACACTCATTTTACCTTCTGCCCTTGCCATAAACACTGCCTGCACATTTCCCTATTCCCTCCCCACCCATCTCGTGTGAAGAAATCAGGGGCTCCCCCATCGCCAATGTCTATCTGAACAGGGCCCCGGGGTGGCACTACCTCAGCCGGGCCTCCTCCAGCATGCTGGCTGGTTCCTGTGCAGCCAGGCTTCGGCTACGGATCTTGGCAGTGACACAACGTGGTGTTCTACGCTTGAGCTGTATTCAAGAGAGAACAGGATTCAGAAGGGAAAACAAAACAAAATACCATCCAGGACATCTCATAATAATCTTGTAGAAAGGAAGAGGGTGAATTCCTCTTCCTGTATGAAGTGCCATGATTGCCACCTCCAACCTCACACACACTTTCTCTGTTGTCCAAACTCCACTCTAATTTACTTGTCTAATTGACAGACAAGACATTTTTTAAGAATTCTGAAGCACTGTATACAAAGACAGGGTAGAACAGCAGTCAAAGTAGGTTTGAGTCCTTTTTTTTTTCTTTTTTGTCTTTTTCCTTTTTATTGGTACCAGGGATCGAACCCAGGACTGCCTGTTTGCAAGGCAGGCGCTTATGCCGCTGAGCTAAATCCCCAGCCCCTGTAGGTTTGAGTCCTAAGGACTTCGAAAATCCATGATCTACTGTGTGTGGGAGCTGTGGTGTCCCAAGGCACACTCAGCCCCAGGGCCAGTGCTTGGGCTCACAGCCCATTCTCCTTTCTGGCGAGCTGGAAAGGCCTGCTTCTCTCTACTCCTCACAGCAATTCAGTAAGTCATCTTCCTGCCTCTCAGGCAGAAAGCACTTCCACCATGACTGTTTAAAAAACTCCTTATCTATGCAGTGTGAGGAAAGCAGCAAAGTAATAACAAAGCCTTGCTGAGAAGATATCCAGGAGCCTGGTGGGCTTCTGACCTTGCTCCTTACCAGGCTGAGGTGTCATCAGGGTACAGTCTCTCCTGGAATGGAGGCAGGAGACGCAATCAGACCAGAGCAAGGGACCTTTGTGCACGCCTGAGGAATTTCAGGTAAAGACAGCCTCTGCTTCACACAGGAGCTAGAGTTCCCTTCCCGATGTTTTTCTTTGACTTCAACTTAAGTTCAATCTTGACATGGAGGAATGGAGATCAGCTACTAATTAAGCATTGCTAAGCTGGGTTTGGAATGACGTGATGCTCTAGCAGTTTAACTTGCTTACTCCCAACATTTCTTACACACACCTCAAAACAATTCCATTTTCCTTGCTTTCTAAAGTTTTACTGAAGTTCTTATAAGCAGAAAGACTCCTTTGCTGACATCTCACTGTCACACAACTCCTCAGCAGCACTCCTAAGCTGCACTCCTGGTTTCGCGGGTGTATCATGCAAGAGACGGCACAGGCCTGGTGTTCTCACCAGGGACAGGCAAAGACAGGGAGGCAGCTTCTGTGCGTCCCTCGCAAAGCTCAGCTCTCACACATTTCACTGTGGACCTTACAAGGAATTTGAACTTAAAAGAAACCACGGACTGGATTCACTTTCAGTCCTCAGGTTCACTTAGGTCTGCTCTCCCCTGCAAGGTATTGAATGGGACACATTTGTGCTCAGAACCAGGCTGTGACCAACTGTGTCACTCCAGCATTTGCAATCTTTAAACTGGAAGAGGCTGCTTCCCTGGGAAAGAAATCCAAGAGAATCTTACGGCTTTCTTTGGTGTTCTGGAGGGGGACTGGACAGATGGCTCTGAGACAGGCTGCAAGTGCCTGGATGTGTGGCAGGGGCGTCTTCTCAGAAGGGGCAGAGCAGAAGCCCCTTCGTCCTCACTGCTGGAGTTGGAATCCTCTGATGCTGGCAGGAATTCTTTGTCCTCTTGGTCACTTTTATTATTTTCTAGATACCTGAACAGTGGGGACATATTACTTTCTGATAAGGTTCAAGCCTGAGGAGACTCCCATCAAGGTAACAGAGGCATTACTATGCTAATGGTGTTTATTTCATTAAACTCCTGAAGCAACTTTACGGCTTACTATCTTACATATGAGGAATTGAGACTTAGAAAGGTTAAGAGACTTTCCCAAGGCTCACAGATTGAAAAGTCTAAATTCAAATTAAGGTCTATCAAAATCAGAGTTCATTGTCTTGCTGGGAATGATGGTTGTGGGACTGTGGAGCACATAAGCCCAGATCATGCCAACTGTGGTGGTGCACAGCTGTAATCCCAGCACATAGGAGGCTGAGGCAGGAGGACTGCTGTGAGTTCGAGGCCAGTCTGGTCTATAGAGTTAAGTTCAAGGCCAGCCTGAACTGCACGGCAAGACCCTATCTCCCAAAAAAAAAAAAAAAAGAAAGAAAAAAAAAGCCCCATCAGTATTTCTTGTTCCTTTGAAACTATCATATTTGTGTAAAACTTAATATAATTCCAGACATGTTATGTGAATTGCAATACATGGACAACTAAAAGAAGAAATCTAGACATAACAGGTGACAGCGAGCTTTCCCTTCCTGCTGAGCAGCAGTCTTACCGAAGCTGCTGCCTAATCCGATTCAATGTCAAGAGAGAACTCTTTCTCCGGGCATGATGGGGAGTACCAATAGCTTCATTCTGAGCTTCTGGCTCTTTTGCCTCCCTGCAAGATAATTGCAAACATGTTACAGGAACCAGTTTTGGGGACCTAGGGCCTACCCACAGCCACGAGAAGGCAATCAGGTGGCCTGACTGGCTTCTATTCTTTGTATAGCTACTGTGCAGAGTCAAGCACTTTGCTAAAAGGTTTATATAAGTCTGACTCAAACCCGAAGATTAAAATTTGCTTAAATCTTACTGAAATCAGACTCATCTCCCCAAGGTGCAGACCAGAATACAATAATCTCAGGCAGTTTCCTCTTTTTTTTTTTCTGGTATATCCACAAATCTCCCCTCAGGCTCACAGCAGAAGTGTTCAGTATATTCAGTGTATTTACTGAACAACCCATTAGGGCTAACTGTTGGGAGTTAACATCTGTGATTTCTTACTGGTGACATTTTTATTTGTATTGCTCATTACCTAGAAATGTTATCTAGTGTCAGCTTGCAAAGTCTGTGCTGGACATATTATCTGCCTTTACTACATTAGAGTATGGCTTCCGACAAAAAAGGAAAGCCAGTTTTAAAAATGATCATTAAAATGTGGCAAGAAGCCATAGTAACCAATGAAAGTCAGGACTGTGGTGAGGCAGTGCAGGTTTGGAAAATATTCTATAGAACAATTCTCAAATGACAGCAGGATACACAGAATCACTGAAGAGCATTTCAACATACAGATACGGTGGCGCCATGCATATGACTTACTATGGGAATAGGCTTAGAAATCAGTATTTTAAAAAAAACAAAAACAGAAACAGAAAAGGAAATGTGTATCTTGGAGAGGTTCCCCAATGCTTCTGTGACACCTGCAACCCACTGCTCTTAAGATTTTTTTACTGCAATGCATTTCGCTTCAAAGGAATAAACTCGATTTGCTCCTCAGAACACTCTAATGTCCCTTGTCACCTTTTACTGATGTATTCTGGTTTCAGACCCACATAAGGCACCCCTGAAGTTCTTCGGCCTTCCCTGATAGGGGTAAGTTTCATCTCCTCACTAATCCTCATGGTTTTCACAGCTGAGCCTGGGGTTCGCAGGGTCATGTGGCATTCAGGTGAGTCATTCTTGACACTGGCACCAATGAGTCCACGTGCTCCAGTTTTCTCTGGGGTTTTCAGAGCTGGAAATGAGGTCTTGACTGCCTCTAGCTGAGGTCTCTTTGAAGCTGAGGTAGTCTCTGAGAAGGTCATTTTCCGCTTAGTTTTTCTTGGAGAATCCAAGGAAGCACATGAAGTCTTCTGGGCTATCTTAGAAGCAGGTATCCTAGGGAAACCTAAGCCCAAGAAACATCATAAAGAACACACATTTTATACTTAACAATGTACACATTTGCAATCTAATTATTGCTACAATCATCCAAAGTTATAAAAAAAAGGCATGAAACATACAGAGTTGAATGACTGCATCCTTAAGATCTCCATGTAGCTCAATTCATTTTTTCTTTCCTGAACTATGCTAGTTAGTAGCATAGTTATTTTTAATTTTTTTCTCTATTTCATGCTGGACCTTGAACTGAATGCTTCACACATGCTAGGTAAGTACTCTACCACTGAGCTACACTCCTAGCCGCTCCCTGTAAATCAGCGTTTTCTTTGACAAGATCTTACAATGTTGCCCGGGCTGGCCTTGAACTCACGGTTGTCCTGCATCAGCTTCCCAAGTAGCTGGAATGACAGGCATGTACCACTGTGCCTGACTCATAAGCCATCTTTTGCTTGTCTTTGTTTTTGAAACACAGTCTCGCTATGTGTTCCAGGGTGGCCTTGAACTCAATATGTAACCCAGGCTGACCTCAAACTTGTGCTTGCCTCAGCCTCCAAAGTGCTGGGATCACAGACAGGTACCACCAAGCCCAACTAAGCCAACTTTTAAATCAGCTTCTGTGCACAAATGTTCAGCAAGCATATTTCCCTGAAGGAATCTACCAGAGTAGTTCTCAATCAGCTGTGACACTGGACACCCTCCATTCCAACTCAGTGAACTCTGAAGAAGTCCTTAGTGATGCTACTGAGTAAAAAAAGGCCTCGGTGTTCCTTTACCCACATTGGAAGGTGGATTCCTTGGGGCAGTCATCTGGGTTCTGTGACTATATATATATATATATATATATATATATATATATATTTTAATTTTATTGAAGGAGGAAAAAAAAACAACAGAAAAAGGGTACAAGATATACAGAATTTCAGAAAGAATAAACAGTAGGGAATCACTAGTTAATAGACTACATATTGTCATCTTAGAAATAGTTGTTCAAGTTACAAAATTAAAGCATTTTAGTGGACTTTCAAACAGTGAGACTGCAAACAGTTTTGTTCAATAATCCAACAAAACTCAGTAATATGGTTATCTTGATAATACACTTAAATATATATGCAGTTATATCCTTTAGAGCACTTTCTTTTCCTCTCTTTTGTACAATGACAATTACACATTTTGGGTTTTATTACTCCCACAGTTCTTATTACTTTTTTTGAAGAGAATAAAACCAAATGTGACATAACAGAACAAAGTCAGTCAAATCAAAAGGATGGACATAATACATAATGTAAAAACAAAATACCAGGTGATCAACAATGTTTGCCATACTGCCTCTTGCTATCCTAAAAAGAACTGCCTACATCATCAGCTATAATAAAATTGAACAAAACAGTAAAGAATAAAACCAAAACAAAGAGAAATTACAGGACTTTAAAAGAAGATGATAGTCAACCAGAATGGGCGTCATAATGAATCTTATCGTCTTCACAGTTGTTGGCTATACTTTCAAACTTGGTACTATCAAGCAAAACAGAATAGGGGAAAATCAGTCAGAACAAGATGGTGAGGGCAATACAGGGTTTCAAATCAAGTTAATAGGAAATCAAAGTGGGTTACTATAATGTATCCTGCTATTTTTTATTTTTCCCTTAATTAAAAAGATAAAGTAAATAATTTAAAAAAGGAGATTGAGATAAAAGAGGGCATAACAACAAAACAGCGAATGTCAAAGCATAACCATTTAAGCAAAATAGTGTTTCACCACAAGATATCCTGACATAAAAGTAGTTACCTTAGTGTCTCTTTCCTTGAAATCTTTGAGTATAACTTCGTATACTGTAGCATCAAACATATCAAGACAATGTAAAACCATTCAAGAGAATGACAGTATTACAGGGTATTCAGAACCAATTCTCAGAAAATGAACAATGGTTTCTGTATAATCTCCTTATCTATAAAAGTTTTTGCTTGTATTATTACATATAATAAAATCCAGTAAGATACAACCTGTTAAGACCGATGGAGATGGGGCTGGGGATTTAGCTCAGTGGCATAAGCACCTGCCTTGCAAGCAGGCAGTCGTGAGTTCCATCCCCAGTACCGATAAAAATGTAAAAGACAAAAAAAAAAGTGAAAGACCGATGGAGACAGAAGAATACAAGCTTGATTGGACTTCAAAACAAGATGATATTAAATCAGCACTAGCTATTATGATGTCTTGTTTTCTCCAAAACAGCTGTTCATACCATCCAATCTTCTCTGCCTCATTTCTGTTGAGATCTTTTTCTGTTGTTTGTTGTCAGTTTGTCTTCTTCATTTTGCTTTCTGCTCCATTCATTGTGGCCTTTCTGCCACTGTTTCTGGGATCTTGGTATTTTCCTTTTTTTAGAATATCCTGCAGTATTCTCTGTAGAGTTGAATTAGTGGTTGCAAATTCCCCTAGTTCCTCTTTATCCTGGAAGCACCTTGCTTTTCCATCAATTTCTAGGGACAGTTGTGCAGGATATACCAATCTTGGCTGGAGGTTATTATCTTTCAAATCTTGAATTATTTCCCCCCACGCTCTTCGTGATTTGACGGTTTGTGCAGAGAAGTCTGCTGTAATTCTGATGGGTGTTCCCTTGTAAGTGATCTGTTTCTTGTCTCTGACGGCTTTTAATATTCTGTTCTTATATTGGATTTCTGGAATTTTGATTATTATATGCCTGGGTGTAGCTCTGTTTGGGTTGTAGGTGGCTGGGGTCCTGTATGCCTCATACATCTGAGTATCTTTACTTTTTGCTAAATTAGGGAAATTCTCTTGGATTATTTCTGTGAATAGCTTTTGTAGTCCAGTGGTTTGTGTCCCTACTTCTTCTTTTATGTTCTTAATTCTTAAGTTATAGATCCTTTTATCATCTTCTAGCCTTTGTATTATTGCTGTTTGTTTTCTTGTTATTTTTAAAGTTTTTCATTTCATGTTCCTGCATTACAAATCTGCCTGCCCTTCAGTTCAGATAATCTATCCTTAGTTTATCTATCCTTAACCCTGTTTGCCGGTTCCCACTCTCAGAGTTTTTGCACGTGTCTCTCCCTGCTGTGCTGATTCAGAGGCAGCAGCAGCAGCAGGAAATTCAAATCGCGGCTTCCAGCGGCATGGGCTCCAGCTTCTGTGCTGAGACCTTACCCATTCCTGTTATAGCACTGGGATTGCATTTCCAGTTGGTTTCTCTTAGCTTAGTTCATTCCTGGGTCGAGAGGGTACATCTCCCCCTGCTTAGAACTCCTCTCACCGCACCATTCCTGGACTCTAAGCAGGGTATCTCAGAGAGCCTCCGTAGCTGCTGCTATCTATCTGCCATGTTCTTCCAGAAGTCGGTTCCACCTGACTATATTTTTAGTCAGCTCCTAAACACATATTATATAAAGGAGCTATCATAAATACAAATAGTTTTCACAGATAAGGAAAAAATTTAAAAGTTTAAAAATTAAGTCAGACATAATAGTGCACATGCCTGTAGTCCCCAAACCCTGGAAGGCTGAGGCAGAAGGATCTCAAGTTTAGGACAAGACTAGACGTCATGGTTTAAATCCAGAATATCTCCCTAAGTCTCACATGTTCAGATGGGGCCTTTTGGAAAGTGGTTGGAGCATGAGGGCATAACCTGGAAGAGAGTATTCTTGTCCTTGGCTTCTCCCTGCTCTCTCTGCTTCTTGGCTGCCACGGGCTGTATGATTCTACTTATAGGAATTACCGAACATTAGTCAAATTCATGAAAACATATCTCTAATGCTACTTAAAATAATTAAAATGGTAAAATTCATGTTACCTATACTTTAATGTGTCCAGTCAGTACCTGGCCTCCTGATGAGCTCTCAAATCAGTCAATATTTTATTGTGTTCCTTTAGCCCCAGTGTGCACCACTGTGTCCCTTTCCACACTTACTGTCAAGCTCCAGCTTTTTTCCTGCAGAGGGGATGTGGCAAGATTTGGAGGCAGAATGTCTTGATTCAGTCCTTTTGACCACACTGTCTGCTGTATGACAAGAAGGGCTTTCTGCATTCTTAGTACTGGGCTTCTGGTACTTGGACCTGTCTTCTTGTCGTCTATCAAACACTGCAAATAGTTCTGGGGAAAGTGGTTTGAACTTCTTTTCATTCCAGGACAGTTTCACAAAGAATGTTTCTTCATTTTTCAGACCCACTGGGATCACTTCATCTGGTGCTAAAGCCACTACCTGAATTTAGGATACACAGATAAACAGGAAAAGACGCAGGTTAAACCAGCCAAGGCAGACTTCATCGAAGTCATGATTAAAAACCACTTACTCCTACACCTGTATCTGGAACTTTGCCTTTTGTTATGGTTTGTGCTTAGATATCTCCCCAAAGCCTCATGTGATCATAAGGATTTTTCAGAGGTGGCTGACTCAATGTGTGATGCAGATGAAGGGTGTATGATTACTAAATCAGCTCACTGATTGTTTTGGAACCCCCTAATCCCAGCAGTCTGGATGAAAGAAAAGGGACAGAAGATGCTGTGAAGGCCCTTTGTTGCTTTTGCTGTCTTCCACCAGGCACCGGTGGCCCTCTGGCATGTGCTACCCTGCCTTGGAATGTGCTGGTAATGGACTGGCTCTACAAACTGTGAGTTACATAAACTTTCTCCCGTTTAACTTGAGGTGTCAGGTATTTTGCCTCAGCAACAAGAGAAAAGTAACTAGAACACCTTTCCAAACTAAGGTGTAGATGCAGCATAGGTATATGTAGAAAAATGAAGCACTTACTCAATCATAAACAGTTTGAAATATGTCAGTAAACTATATACAGAAAATTATTACCTTCATTTGCTTTCTTAAATTTTTAAAAATTTAATTAAGTGTATCAGTACAATTTAGGTAGATACATTGATCATATTCATAAGGAATTTGTGCCCATACATGCTACACCTTGATTTGTCTTTGGTGTTCACAGTCCTCCTCATTTCCGTCAGCACACCCCTACTAAACCTCCCCTTCCCTCAACCACCCCAAATCTAGCCATCCTGCTGCTTCAATGTCTGCATCTGTCTTTCTCGCCTTCATTTAACTCAGATATCAGTACCATGTACAGTCAGGCCAGACTAAACTCTCTGCTCCAACATTAAATCAACCATTTATTCCCTATAACACCACACTTCAACGTTACAATCTAACTCCCCTTTTGAGTCTCTAAATCAGTGCACCACTTGAGCAAAGTGCTCATTAGCTCCAGATTTATTATAAAATCCCAGAGCACAAATTTGCTTATAGCAGCTGACACTCTTTGTGCTGATCTGCTCAAGGTGAAGTCCTCATTTAACAAAGCATATTCAGCCTCACAATGTTTTCTGCCTACCACAACCGCAGCTAAATATAATTTCCCACCGAGACATATATGCTAATTCCTGCTCATCCCTCAGGTCAGAACCCAAATGTCACTTCCTCAAGGAGGCTCCAAACATACAGCTATGTGCTCTCAGTAAGTATTCATTTAGAAGAAGCAAGGAGGCGGGCAGAGATAACAGGAAAGAATTCCCCATGGGGCAAATTAGAGACACTAAAATTTCTGAGGTCATGCAGTTTAGGAGGCTACAGAAGTCAGCAGCAAGCTAGAACCCAGGATCAAGGTACCACCTACCTTAACAGGGCCAATGATGGTCTCAATACTAATGTTGTCATCACAGGCGGGGTAGTCATACCAGAAAATCTCCTGTGGGTCAGGCTTTCGGCCTAATAAATGCCGTTTGCAGGGAGCAACTTCACAAAATCGGATAAACCACTGTACTCGTGCACGTTTCCTAGAATGAAGTTCAGAATCTACAAGGATTAGGTGGGAAAGAAAAAGTTAAGAAATTATGAGAATCTTATTTAGCACCTCCTATGTGCCCAACTTTGTGCTAAAAGCCCTGAGCATGTGTTATCTTTAACCTTCATAACTACCATTCAAGTTGGTGTTATGGCTACTTCTCTTTACAGGGAAAGAAATTCACTTTCACCGACCTTGAATGATTTGTCAAAGGTCACATGACCATACAGCAGCCATCTGATTCAATGTTATACCCATATCCCACTTTGCAATTGTGTCTTCAGGAGACACAGGAATTACAAAAGTATTTGAAAGAAGCTATCCAAAATCCAGGCCCAAAACGAATTCTCAGAAGTGCTCAGCTGGGCGTGGCCACGCATGCCTGTAATCCCAGTACAGGAAGCTGAGGCAAGAGAACTGCTGCAAGCCTGAGGCCAGCCACGGAGTTGAGGGCCAGCCTGAACTACATAGTGAGACCTTGTCTCAGAAAAAACAAACCACAGCAACCAGCAACATCTTACAACCAACAAGATGACTTCTGATGAAACATGCTTGAAATCATCAGCTTTATTATACAATTAATATCACTTTACACCAAGCGAATGTTCATACACTCATGGCGAGGCCCTTTCTTAACTCCAAAGAGAAGAACCCACCACACAGGACTCTAAATCTGTACCAAGTAGGCGGCACTGCAGCTGCTGTGCTCCCTCTAGTGGACACTGGTTTGATGAGACTCCTCTCCGGGTCCAATGTGGCTCCTAACTATGCAACAAAACATCTTTGTCTACTCATTCTTTCTTTCACTTTTTATTTTGTGGTCCAAAGGATCAACTCAAGGTGTTGCTCAGGTGAGGCAAATCCTCTACTACTGAGCTACATTCCAGCCCTTTGGTTTTCCTGGGCCAGGGTCAGGCAAAGTTGCCTATTATGGCCTGCAACTTGTGATCCAGTGTTTTTCTCAGGTATACACACTGCTATAGCATTCTCTCTCTCATGCCATTCTTCTCCCACATACAAAGGAAGCAGTTTTGTACAGTTTCAAATTGAGTTCAAGGCCAGCTTGAACTACATAGCGAGACTCTGTCTCAAAAACCAAGAACAATCAAAAGGTTTCTTTCTTCTCAGTTCTCCCTGTGGAGTTCTGCCCTATTCCACTTGCAGTGTGCTGTGGATCATTACCTGCACAGGCTTGAAGCTCAACACATCAGAGGACGCTTCGGCTCTTCCTGCCTGCTGATCTCAGAGAGACTTCACCTTTTCCTCCATCCTTTCCAACCCCGTGCCTGAGTCCCTCTGAGTAAAACACCTAAAGTGCTTTCCTTTTTCTGACCAAATAGTAACTGACACACCTTCCTAACCCAGCTTAGCTCCTCCCTTGTGAAGCTGCACTCATCAAATTCACCACTTCGACGGGCCCAAACAAAAGGCTAGATATCTAGCACAGTACCGATCTCCTATTTATTTTTGTCGCCTTGCTTCCCAACTCATCTTTTCTCTCCATCCCCCAAATCCTGCCTTCATGACTATTCTTATCCACTCCTAAAAATAATGCAAAAAGCAAAATTCCCAAGCCCTCCATTTCCATTTTAGCCAATGCTGCTCTGGTGACTGAAGAAGTTCTCTACAGGGAAAAGGGCACAGCTGGCGTGCATGCAATCCCACCTCACGGGCTCGGGGCACTGCGTGCCGTCTGAACACAGACTGGCAGCCTCCCTCTGCCTCACTTCCCAATCAGCCATAACCTGGAATGTTTTTCATTCCAGCAGCAAACTCACCATCTTCAAATAATTCGATCAATTTTGCAACATAGGGGTTTTCATCTTTCCCTTCAATCAACACAAACTGGCCAACTTGGATGTGAGTCTGAATTGAACAACCTTCTCTTTTCACAGACACTTCTCTAGGAAGTAACAGAGAAACTTGTTAGAATGTCTTTTAGAGTGAATAAACTTTTTAGATGCTCTGTAACCAAAAGCATTCTTCAACCAGAAATTCCCTAAGTAATTCCTCTATGTTGACTAACTCTCCTACTGGGAAACCAACTCATTAAGTTATACGTAAAAGGGTAGACAAAATGAGTCAAATGAATATTTTTTGCACAAATGAAGAATCTAGAAGGCTTAAGATAAATCCTAACTTCTCTGTTTTTGACAAAGAACAAAGGTTTTCTAAGGCTGGAAAGACACTGTGTAACTAGGGAAGACACAGTAACAATATCCTGTATCCCATTAGCATGAAGAGTTACAATCACTCAATCTCAAATACCTATGACATTATTGCACAAAATTTACTAACCCATATAATTTTGCCCACATCACTATTTATACACAAACTTACATCAACTAAAATCCTTCCTTCAATCAATGTTCCCTTGGTCTTCCAGTTACAGTAACCCGAAGAGAGGGGACATAAAATTAGCAACAATTTCCTTTTAAAAGCAATTCTGCACCCCACCAAAGAACCCCATCACTTACGTATAGGTTTGGTAGCCCAATTTTCGATCCAGCAAACGCCTGCCAACCCATGAGTAAGTCTTCCTGGTCTTCTGCCTTGTATTATGGGATATCATGGCTCCTGTGAAAAAGTCCTAATTCTGAGTTATGATGGCAACACTCAGGGAGTCCAAAATATACTCCTGCCTTCCATAAGTTAAGCCTTTTTTCTTTTTCTACCCTGTATTATACATTTTAGACTTTAATAATATTTTCTTTTGTTTTTCAAATCCATTCTTTCAAGGATAAAAAGAAAGAAAAAAGTAGAAGAAAAAACCTACAACAGAATTCCAAAACACATCAGGCAGGGGGCAGAAATAGTACACACATTGCATATTGTCATCCCCAAATCACTGCCCTAGAGCACAAGGTATCTGCAATCAATCATCTGAACAATACTAGCACAAATCTTTCTCTTGAGTGAACTCAAATCAATAGTATAACTATCTTAACTATTTGTTATATACATATACATATATATACTTTTTTCAGCTCAAACACTAATGAAACAATATAATGTTTACAGATGTATGTCTTGTTTATTTTACTAATTGGTATGTTCTCAAGTTGCAGCCATACTCCATTGTATAAAAATACCACATCTTTTTTATCCACTCCTCGGTTGATGGGCATTTAGTTTTTTTCCAAGATCTGGTTATTATAGACTGTGCTGCTATAAACATGGCTGTACATATATCACTGTGGCATGAGGTTTTTAATTCTTTTGGGAAGATACCCAGGAGAGAAATAGCTGGGCTGAATGGCGCCTCCAATTCTAGTTTTTGAGGAATCTCCACAGATTTCTACAGTGGTTGCACCTGTCTGCATTCCCACCAACAGCGGAAAAGGGCTTTTTTTTCTCCACTGCCCCTCCAGCATGTGTTATTGCTTGATTTTTTGATAATAGCCATTCTTTCCAGGGTGAGGTAGAATCTCAGTGTTTTAATTTGCATCTCTTGAATGATCAGTGATGTTGAACATTTCTTTACATATTTATTTGCTGTTTGTATTTCTTTATCTGAGAAGTGTACATTCATCGCATATGCCCATTTTTGGATTGGGTTTTTAAATCTGAGAAGACTGATGTTTTTCAGTTCTTTATATGTTCTCAGTAGTAGTCCTTTGTCTGAGGTACAGCTGGCAAACATTTTTTCCCACGTTGTCTCTTCACTCTGTTGGTGGTTTCTCTTGTGGTGCAAAAGCTTTTCAGTAAGATGAGATCCCATTTGTTGACTAGTTCTCTGCAATCTGGGTTTTGTTCATAAAGTTTTGCCTACACCAATGCATTCAAGAGTTTTACCTACTCTATTTTCAGGCAAATTTTGTGTTTCTGTTTTAATATTAAGATCTCTGATCCATTCTGATTTTATCTTAGTACATGGTAAAAGATATGGGTCCAGTTTTAATCTTTGGCATGTGGAGAGCCAGTTTCGCCAGCACCATTTATTAAAAAGACTCTCTTTTCTTCCAGTAAATGGTTTGGCATTTTTGTCAAAGATAAGGTGGCTGGCTGGGGATTTAGCTCAGGGGCAAAAGTGCCTGACTTGCAAGCACACAGTTGTGAGTTCGATCGCCAGTACCAAAACAAACAAACAAACAAACAAACAAAAAGATAAGGTGGCTTAGTGTGTCTGCAGTTGTTTCTACATCTTCTAATCTGTTCCACTGATCTCTGGGTCTGGTTTCGTTTTGTTTTGTTCTTTGCCAGTTTCACATAGTTTTATCACAGTAGTTTTACAATATAATATCAAGTCAAGGATTGTGATGCTTGTCTTTGGTGCCCAGGATTGCCTTTGCTATTCTATGTCTCTTCTGGTTCCAGATGAATTTTAGTTTTGTTTTCTCTAATTCTGTGAGATATGCTATTGGAATTTTGATCAGGATTGCATTGAATCTATGTAAGTTTTGGAAGTATGGCCATTTTCACAATATTGGTTCTTCCTACCCAAGAGCATGGGATATTGCCCCATTTTCTAATAGCCTCTTAGATCTCCTTTTTTACAGTACTGTAGTTTTCAAAGTAGAGGTCTTTTACATCCTTTGTTAGATTGATTCCTGGGTATTTCATTTTTTGGATGCTATTCAATAATATTTTCTTCAGGGAAAAAGTCAGGCTTGATGAAGATTAAACATAGGTAATTTAGTATCACCTCTGTACATCTTGTACTATGTCTTATTTCATCTTGTACACAAAAATAATACATAAGAAAATAAACTATACATGTTTGGAAGTTCTTACTAGAAAAAAACCACAATAGACATGAAACATTTAACAATGTGAAATGTTTCACATCAGTTATGTGTAGGCACAAAATACAAATGCAGGAGCCAGGTGTGGTAGCACATGCTTATAATCCCAGCACTCAAGACGCTGAGGCATGAGGACACTGGGAGTTCAAGGTCAGCCTGAATTACCTATGAGACTCTACCTCAAAAAACATATATATATGTGCATTTACACATACCACATACATGTAATAAAGAAAAACTAATAACACAAAGAACTCAGAGAGGAACCCCTGGAAGTTAGAGGACCAACCTTTACGGCTGTTCAGAGAAAAGGGATCCTGAGCTGAACACTGAAAAATTAGATACTGGTAAGGCACTAAATCCTTACTCTCAATTTCCTTAAATTCAGACCTTTAGCTTATTAAAACAGCATCTTCCTTTAAAATTTAACTTTCTGGGGCTGGGGATTTAGCTCAGCGGCATAAGCACCTGCCTTGCAAGCAAGCAGTCCTGAGTTCAATCCCTGGTACTGATAAAAAGGAAAAAGACAAAAAAAAAAAAAAATTAACTTTTCATTTCTAGGAGATCATGGACAGTGCTCAATAAAAAGTAACACGGGTGTACATGAGTGATCCCCCCGAGGTCATCGGTGGTGATACTGTGGTATGCGTGCCTCAGCAGGCTGTTTGTATCACTGAAACCTCTAAAAGGTTCCCATCACTGCCCTAGATGGAGGCAGAGGAGTTCTTTCCTGTATCATTCAGCTTGTTCATGCCTGGTTTTCCAAACCTCAAACAGAGAAGGTTGTCACTGCCTTGTGACTTTTGCAGCTGCTTGGCACGGGTCTGGCTCCAGTGAAATTCCTTAAGCAAGGACTTCACTGAATACCTGTAGGAACATTACCCAACCCCTGGGTCATTTTCCCAGTACCACCCTATTATCAAAGAACTCTCCATTATATTATTTTCCTGTTTATTGTGCTTCCTTGTAGGGAGCAGCTGGAGACTGATCACAAGTGCAGGAGAACAATGAGCGCCCTTGGCAAACAAGCTGCTACAGCCCAGACAACACCAAGTCCCATGGCGATCCCAGCTAGGGGCTGCTAGGCAAAAGGTTACTTCTTCAGTGGTTGAGGAGTTCCTCTTCTCCGATCAGGAGAGTGAGTTCCACCTGACCCCAGCTTTTTCCTCTTTTCTTTATTTTCCCATCTCCTTGTAGCCCCCACCTCAACACCTGGAGTTGTAGCCAGATATACTTTACGCTTCACTTCTGACATTACTATGGTAACTTTCAAAGAGTAGGGCACTTAGAAGTTTGTCTATGTTGTTCATGATGGTATTTAGATCTGGATTTGACACAAAATAGGCAAATGAATAGAAGGCAGAAAAAACGAACTTTTTTAAAAAATCATCAGGACAATAGCAAATATGGTGAGGATGGAGAGAGCAGCCAAAATTCTCACATACCACCCAAGGGCCTGTAAAGTGGTACAACCGCTTCAGAAAATTCAACTTTTATGAAAAAAAAACCCAAAAACTTCTGAACATATTCATATCCTATGCTCCAGCAATTCTAACAGAAATACATACATATCCTCAAAAGAGAAGAACCAAAATCAACCCCACACAGCAATAAATTAAATCAACTGCAACTATACACATAACAGTGGGGGAAAACTCACAAAAGAATATTAAGCTAAAGATTCTAAGATGTCAAAGATACAAAAGGCCTGATACTGGCTATGATTTCCTTTCTGCTGCCTCTTTGGAAGAACTCCTGACTAATTTTTTGAAGTTTTTGTTAAATGACACACCTACAGAAAAACACCTAAATGACAAGTACACAGCTCAGTGAGCTCAATGCTATTTGTTATCCCCATTCCCTGCATTTCCTCTCAACCACTATTAACCTAGAATAGTAAACAGAATGAAAAAGCAGGCTTGATTTGGCCTATCCAAGACTTTGGCTGCCAGGAGATACCCACTGGACTGGTCTTGGTGCCACAGGTACCAAACATCTGAAATGTGCACGAAGCTCTGGAGTCACAACCCTGGGAAACAGATAAGGGATCTGTAATATATGTGTCAGTAGGAAAGAACATTGATCAAAACTCGATATATTTATTTCTTTCAATGCTCTTAGAACAATGTTAACACAGATTAAGTACCCAATAGGTGCTCAATAATAAATATTTGCTAAATGAAAGGAAGATACTATTATCTTTTTAAGATAATAACTTGCCCAGTATTATATAGGACGACTCAACTTTAAAAATGCAATCCCTGGCTGGGGAGTGATGGTGTGCCCTTGATATCCCAGCACTCATGAGCCTGAGGCAGGAGGATCAGTGTGAGTTCAAGGCCAACCTGAACTACATAGTCAGACTCTGTCTAAAAAAAAAAAAAAACAAACAAACAAAAACAAAAACAAGAAAACCACTAACAACAAAAAACCTGAAATCTTGAACAGCCAGATTCCAACTATTGTACTCTTAATTATCTCCCCTTACAACAGACACTCATTGAATGATGTCATTTTATGTCTGAAAGAACTTGCTTCTGGTGGCTTATTACAGTAGTCAGGTTTTCCAATCACTGACTGAATGAGTAGACTGGGCCTCAATTTTCTTACCCACAAAATGGAGATAACAGAATCTTCTGTTAATTTAACCATATTACTAAGCACCAATGTGTCTGGCACTATTCTAGTATTATTAATGATTAGGTAAAGAAAATACAAAATGATAAATCCATCCCCCCAATGTCTTGCATTCATCTGTAAGGGATAGAAATTTTATTTACTTTTTAAATAGAATTTGAGGTAACAGATCAATTTGTGCAAAATGTCCCATTCAATTTCAGGGAATCCAAACTTCTGCATATTGTCCTCTATTCAATTAAAAACTGCAGGAGAGACACTTAGTAAACCATGCTCACCTTGGACATGCCACTAGCATTCACAAACCACCAGAGAGGATACGATTACTCATATTCTACTGACAAATGAAATCAGACCTAATCACTGTAGCTTCACAAGCAGTAGACTCTTGCATCTCATTCTTCTAAGCCTTTCTTCAACTATCACAAGAAGTCAGTAGAAAGGAAGCCACTACTCTTCTCTCCTGGAAAGGATAGGAGCCATAGCAGTTAAGAGCATGTTATCCGGAGAATAGAAGACCTAAGTAGGAGTTTGGACTCCTCAGTCACAAAAAGTGACCCAGACAACCGCCTGACCCAGACAAGCGCAGTCACTTTAGTGGTAATAACACCGCTCCGCCTTCCCTGTAGGGCGTGCTACGCTCCGATGGGGAGAAAAGATGCAAATGTTTTTCAAAGGAAAAGCAAATGGAAGAAAAGGCTAAGACCATTCCTGAGCGTCTCAGTGCGTAATGCTCAAGCTTCTCTGCTGGGGGCTTCCAGTTCACCCACGGCATATACGGCAAACTCTCAAATACCTGGCTAAGAGAGCAGCTTTTCTGATCGCAGCTAGACACCTAATAGACGCTGGGTGAACGTCAGCTGAAACACACAGAGACTGAATCTGCAGAGAACAACGTCCTAGTTCCAGAGGCCCGGCTCCCACTCCGGCCCTCGTGCCGCCACACTCACCAGGGACCGAAACTTCCGCGGGCTCTCAGCTTCCCACCGCCTCCGCTTTGTGCTCTCTGCAGGCTGCGGCAACTCTAACCTGCCGGAACTAGACTTCTCCCTTAGCACCCAACGGTCGCTTACCGTAAGCAAAGCTGATGCCAGGCTAGAACTCTAAAGTGAAAAAAAGAAAATTTCGCGCCAAAGGGTGTGGCCCCGCCCCCAAACTGTCCACGTGTGGCGTCACCAACCACAGCCCGCCCCGCCTACCCGGGAGGCGCACGACGCACTTCCGCTGACGCCTGCAGCCGGCGTCAATTCGATCGGCGCGCGGCTCCCGGAAGTACTCTGAGCTGAGCTTTCCGCTTCCAAATGGTTTCCTGGCCGATTTAGAGATTTCCTACACTTTTTTCCGTCGTTTTGGTTGTGTTTTATTGACCTGGAGGATCCGACGGAAATACGTAGAACCGAAGGAGTTCTAAAATGGCGAACCGTACAGTAAAGGATGCGCATAGCATCCATGGCACAAACCCCCAGTATCTGGTGGAAAAGATCATTCGGACGCGAATCTATGAATCCAAGTACTGGAAAGAAGAGTGCTTTGGACTCACAGGTGAGCAAGAGCGCGAAAACTGCCTCGGCCTCCTTGTGCTCTCTCCTGACTCCGCACTAGTAAGATCGACCCATAGATGGGGTGGTACTAGAGAGAAGTATACCAGTTATCAAAAACAATTTAATCGCCTGCTGTGTGCCCATACTTGCATTGAGTATTGAGGTCAGAAATGAATTAGTCTTACTTTATTATGAAGAGTGTCTCGGGTTGAAACATTCCATGTAATGCTAGCCAGTTGGGTTCCAAATCTAGATTCAAAGCCGTTGAACTCAGGGAGCTGGATATAACTCCTTGACATAGACATCTGAGGTCTTAAATGAAGTCACTATACCCAAAATCAAGTCCTTTCTGTCCTTAAGTCTAGGTCAGTTCCAGTGTTTTTACATGTGAGTCCTAGTTTTACGATCTTTGTTCGAATTCGGGCATAAATCCGTGTCCTGTGATACTGGCTGTGGACTTGAGCGAGTAAGGCACGCAACCTTCCTTAACTGTTTTTCTTATCTGGAAGTAGAGACAGTGTTGGAACTTGCTAGTTAGTGGTAAAGATCAAATCAGTAATAGTAAACGCTTGGCGCAGCACTTGCTGTATAGAAATCTTTCCCTTTATATTAACTGCTGTCATTACTCTTAGTGTTATAATACGCACTTATCTCCCTAATATTAAACCCTTGGTGGCTGTTAAGGGGCTCCAAATCTTAAACTATTCCACTTATGTGAAGGGAAAAAAAAAAAAGCTCTTTTTTTTTTTTTTTTTTGCTTTTTTAGCTGAACTTGTAGTTGATAAAGCCATGGAGTTAAGATTTGTGGGTGGCGTCTATGGTGGAAACATAAAACCAACTCCCTTTCTGTGTTTGACCTTGAAGATGCTTCAAATTCAGCCTGAGAAGGACATCATTGTAGAGTTTATAAAAAATGAAGATTTCAAGTAAGTGCATGTTGACTATCTGTTATATATGCTTTAATTTAAGCAGGGCATGGTGATGCACACTGGTAATCCCAGCATTGGCTAAGGCAGGTGGGTCACTGAAATTTTGAGACCAGCTTGGGCTACATAGTTAAGTGGAAGGCGGGCTTGGACTACATAACAAGACCCTGTCTCAAAATACATATATGTATTTTTAAAAGCTTCAATTTAGTGATTCAAAATTGGGCTTTGGTTAAGAGCTATGAACACAGTGTGTCTAATCTTATCTTCACAGAGTTGCACTTAAGGTGTTAGTTCTGATTGTATTAACTGTCCACTCTACTTTCTAGTCTTAGTAATTTTTTACCCACAAAAGTATTTCACAAATTGAATGTTTGGGAGAAACCAATGCCTAATATCTGGTAGGGGAAAGTAATGGTGTGATTTTTCTGACATCTGAATTCATATGTAGACTTAATTATTCTGTGATCTTGAGGAAATCCTTAATTTTCTGAGCTTTAACTTCCTTACCTGTAAAATGGAGATAAGACCAATGCATAGGATTTAAGGGAAGTTTAAGAAGATAATATATGCACATCCACACATTGTCTGTTGTGTAGTAAACACCTAAAGACATTGGCTGCTCTTTTATTGTTATCCATGCTAAAGAAGCTCACAAATATGAGAGATACATGGTAATAGTTTTCCCATATGACATGCTGTGTTCCAAGGGCTTTAAATACAGTAATTCACTTCACTTTCACATTGACACTATAAAATTGCTACCCCTATTTTAGAAGGAAACTGAAGCACTGAGAGATTTAGGTGATTTACCCAAGGTCAGGCAGCTAGGAAGTGGCAAATGTTACATGCTGTGCTTAGTACTTTCTTCGCATTTCTTATTGAATACTGCAGCCAGTAAATGAAATAGCATCATCTCCATCTTATAGTCTTACAAGGACTGAGAAAACAAGTGACTTGCCTAACATGAGTTGGTAAATTATGGAATTAGAATTTTAACCCAGATAACTAATTTTTTCCAAGACCCACATTCATAGTTGTGTGTACTTGATCTGGTATTATCAAATGTGTTTTACACCTCTTATTAACTCCAGCATCTCCTTGAATTCTTAGAATAGTTGTATGAAGTAAATGGTTTTTATCCTAGTTTACAGATGGTGTAGGTGAAAGTTAAGCATGTATGAAGTTTCCATAGCTAGTAATAGAGAACCGAAACTCAGCTCTTCATATTTTAGCCATTTTGGGCTCTGTGCTGCCTCCAAAGTCCACCTTTCTAGTCCCCAAAGAAATGAAAAAACACATTTACCATTTTCTGTCATGAGAGAAGCCAGCTGAAAAACTCAAGAACTTCTTAGAATGGTCTCTTCTCTTTTATCTGCCAGGTATGTCCGCATGTTGGGCGCGCTTTACATGAGGCTGACAGGCACTGCAATTGATTGCTACAAGTACTTGGAACCCCTGTACAACGACTATCGAAAAATCAAGAGCCAGAACCGAAATGGAGGTGGGTACAATGCCAAGACTCCATTCACTCTCGTTTTTATGTCACGGTGTCTGTAAGTCACTTTCTATGTGTTTCATCTTCACAGTTCTGCTGGCCTCCTCTCTAGAACTGTACTTCACAATGCCATCTATAGACTAAGTGTACTCTGATGTTGGAATATCATTGAAAAATAGTATATTCAAGGGGGCAGCTGCATATCTTTTACAGAGACACTTTCTACACTGAGGAAGAACCTGAGTAATGACCCTTTGTCACCTAGCATCATAATGAAAGACTGTAACATTTGCCTTTCCCTTTCTCCTCCACATGTGTCATTAAACAGTAGAAGACTAGAAAGTTGGTACATGTCAAATATCCTTTTCCAAAATGGCTTTGAACCAGAATCTTTCAGATTTAAGAACGTTCTGGGTGTTGGAACAATTCTATGTACTTTACTGGTTAAACACCCCTAGTTAATAAATCTGAAACGCTCTGAAGTCTGAACTTTTCTTTTTTTGCAATTCTGGAGATTGAACCTAGGACCTTAAACATGCTCAGCAAGCACTCTACGACTGAGCTAAAGTCCTAACTTTTTTTTCTCGTTTAACTTTTATTTTGAGACAGGGTCTCATTAAAGTTGCCCAAGCTAACTTCAAACTTGAAATCCTCCTATCTCAGTCTGCTGAGAAGGTGGAATTGATTAGAGTAACTAATGCCACTATGTCCAGCTAAAAATCCAGAATATTTTGAGTGTCGTGTCCATGTTGAAAAAGGTTTCAAGCTAAGTATAGCTTTTTCAGTGATATTCCTTCATTGGTAAGAGTATACTTAGTCTATATATAGCACACTTATAATCTGAACACTCAGGAGGAAAAGGCAAGAGGATTGCCATGAGTTCAAGGCCAGCCTGCACTACATGGTGAGACCCTGTCTCAAAATAACCAACCAAACAAACCAAAAAACAGATTTCAAATTTTACCTTCTGGGAAGCTAAGGCAGCAGGATCACAAGTTCTGGGTGACTTAGAGACTTGGTAAGACCCTGTCTCAAAATTTTAAAAAAAAAAATTTTTTTTTTTAAAGACTTGATAAAGTTCAATTTAAAAGTCCTGGGTAAATCCCCAGTATCATACATCAAAAAGAAAGTTTCTGATTTTAGAGTGTTTCAGATTTTCCATTTACTTATTTAACTCATATTAAGTGCTAGTGGTATACTAGTGCTATACTGTGTCTGGAAATAACATGGTCAGTTAACTGGACATGGTCATGGCCATGACAGAGTGAGTTACTGATTTTATGATGTTGACCCGAAGCAGGAGTTTTCAACCAGTTGACATACAGCGCTAGATAATTCTTGGCTGTAGGGGCTTTCCTGAGCATTGTAGAGTGTTTAGTAGCATCCCTGGCCACTACACCTAGTTACGAGTAGAACTTCTTGTTCCTAGGGTGATGTGGTTATAGATCAGAACCACTAAATTAAGGTAGTATATGCTATGGAAGTTGTAAAAAGCTACTATTTCATGGTCTATGTAAGATATATGTTCTGTATTCAAAAACACGGATATGAGAAATTACACTGGAGTTTTTTGATGTTAAAATTAACGTGAATTAATGTAAATCTTTATAAAATTATTAAAATAACCTTGAGTTACATAAAATTACTAAAACTTACATGATGTATTCAAGATCATCCCTGAATAATTGAGGACTGTGTGTTTGCTTTTGTGTTTGCCTTTCCTGCTAGTTAGGTTTACTTTTTTTTTTAATCGGTACTGGGGATTGAACTCATGACCGCCTGCTTGCAAGGCAGGTGCTTATGCTGCTGAGCTAAATTCCCAGCCCCAGGTTTACTTTAAATATCACTTCCAGGTTGCTTGGCCTAATTACTCTTTCTTTCAGAGTTTGAACTGATGCATGTAGATGAGTTTATTGATGAACTGCTGCACAGTGAGAGAGTCTGTGATATCATTCTGCCCCGGCTACAGGTAAGAGACTAAGGTTTATTATGGGACAGACAAATAGGCAAACACAAATCCATATTGAAACACGGCAGCTCTGGGGTCACTGGGGTCCTCCTGAGAAGCGTCTCTGTGTCTATGAAAAAGAAGATGGGGAGTGAGAAGAAAGCCAAGTATTTCAAGGGTAAACTTTAAAAGTGAATAGTTGACATAAGAAAGTTTATCTTTGGGATGATATATCAAGGATTTTATAGTTTTAAGTGGTGGTTTTAAACTTTGTGAACAGCTTTTTTCATATTGAGCATATAAAGCCAGGCTGTTTAAAGAGAAAGAGAACCAGGAGGGGGAGGTAGGGTCTTGTCTCCTGAAACTCCCCTTTAGCAATACCCTCCCTGTTAAGGATTGTCCCTGAAGCACCCTTTGAGATCATGCTTTATGATTTAAAAACTACTGTTTGAAAATATATAGGGAAAACAAACTGAGTGGGCCTTTTAAAGAGCTAACAGTGCAGTGATAACAGCATAGCACTCACAACATTCAAAATAGCCTGCAATTGAACAGAATCATCTAACACACTATTTACTATGAAAATGTTGAGTCTGATAAGTATTTTCTGTATCTGGTTGAATACTGTCCTATCTCCCAAACTTTTGTCCTATTACATACCTCATTTCTTCCAACCTTTATAGAATTTTGATGATGGATAAATGAGAGCTAAGTAGGAATGCATTATTCTCATTATTCCACAGCTGCCTGTCCAGGCTACCCAACATTCCCCATATCCTTGGGTCAGGAATATGAAGAATGGTGTCTTCTCTTGAAACTGCCAAGCAACCTAATCTTGCTGGCCATGATTTTCTGTGTACCTTACAGAGTACGATCATAAGAAATAGAACCAAATGGAAATTAATTTCTTCACTTTAGCTTTGTATTTATGTTTGTAGCAAAAATTAAGAAAGTATATGGATTCCATGTATATTAAACTCTTTAGGAAAACCTAAATTGTCTTTGAAATGAAATCATTGCAGCGGTTGCCCCATGTCTTTTCTGTCAGTGTCAGAAGTCCAGGGTTAAGGCCTCAGGACATAAAGCAGATGGTATCGATCCGTAACTTTCATTATGTTCTCTGTAGAAACGCTACGTGCTAGAAGAAGCTGAGCAATTGGAGCCTCGAGTTAGTGCTCTGGAAGAAGACATGGATGACGTGGAGTCTAGTGAAGAGGAGGAGGAGGAAGATGAGAAGGTGAGGCACCTAGGATTTTTAAGATTCTTGTTCTTGTTTCCAAACTTCAGTTTTTATTTCTTTAAAAAAAATTATCCTATTAAAAGTATGAATGTTAGAGTCAAATACTCCTTGATTCATTTCTTATTGCTGTCATTTACTAGTATTATAATCTTAGTGTTTCTTTTTTTCCCCTAGTGCCGGGGGTTGAAACCATAGCTATGTCTGTCCCCTGCCCCTTAATGGTGGTATAGTTATTAAAATTACTTAACCTTAATTTTCTTCTTTGTAAAGTAAGAATAATAATGTTCTCTTAAGTGTTAAATAACCCTTGCATTCCCTTTTTATTCCATTCAGGCTATAAGCCTATTAGTTAACAAAGCCACCCATAGCTAGTGAGAGGATTAATCCAGTTATCACACCCTTAATCTAGTCACTCTGAAAAGCCCCACCTGTGAGTGGATGGCACTTTGGAGGGACAACCTGATAAAAGCTTCAACAGTGGTAAAGTGCAACCTACTTTCTTTTACTTGATGTGGATAAATGAAAATCTCACTTTTTGCTGAAGGTATGGCTTAGTGATAGTGCTTGCCTAGCATGTGCAAGGCTGCGAGTCTGGTACCCAGCACTGCATAAAATAAAGCCACCCTATTCTTTTCCCGCTTGCCTGCCTTGCTTTAATTCAAAATCATGTATATGTGTGGGTCTGATTCTGGTATTACTGTCCTGGCCACTTTATACAAATGCTACTATCCTAATTATATAACTTTGGAAGAGTCTGGATTTTTAGTGGAGCAAGAGCTATTTTATGTAAATAATAGAATCCACTGTGAAGTATAAAAGAAACCTGCTAGTATTTTGATTAAAATTGCATTGAATCTACACAAACTTTAGGAGAAAATGAAAGATATACTTTCTCTCAAAAGATGTCACTTTCATGAAAGTGACATCTTTTGAGAGAAAGTATATCTTTCAGTTATTTCGCCTTATAGAAACTTAACATGTAAACTTATTTTCCTTCAGGTAGTTTTTGTATGTCTTAGATTTATTCCCTTTTACTTTGTTATTGTGATGGAAGTTATGAATAGTTATGTTACTAATATAAAGGAAGATTTTTTTTAGAGGTATTTGTTATTAATGTGTAGATACAAAGTTTATTTTTTAATTGACTAAACTCTAGATTTGGAAGGAAAATCTAGGCAAACAGTCTTTGGAATAATAAATTTTAGTATCTTTGTAACCTTTATGACCCTCATTTCTTTCTGTTGGACTTTCAGTATAGCACTGAAGTAGTGGGGAAAAAAATCTGTTTGTTCCTGATTTTAAAGTGACTACCTCTGATAGTTTTTTTTTTTTTTGTCTTTTTCCTTTTTATCAGTACCAGGGATCAAACTCACTACTGCCTGCTCACAAGGCAGGCGCTTATGCCACTGAGCTAAATCCCCAGCTCCCCTCTGATAGTTTCTTGCTAATAACTACATTTGCAGGCCAGGTATGGTGGTGTGCCTCTGTAATCCCAACACGGGAGGCTAAGGCAGAAGAGTAGCAGAGTCCGAGGCCAGCTTAGGCTACATAATGAGTTCAAGGCCAGCTTGGAATAGCGAGAATTTGTCTCAAGGGAAAAAAAAGACATTTGCTATTGATTTCCTGTTGATACCTCTTACAAAAATAAGAGAATTTTAGTCAGGCATGGTGACACACACTTGTAATCCCAGCTTTTGGGAGGCTGAGGCAAGAAAACCTTGAGTGTGTGAGACCAGCCTGGGCTACAGAGTGTTCTTAAGGCCAGATTGAACTGCATAGCAAGACAGGCTGAGAGACCATGTCTCAAAAAGGTCAAAAAAAGGAGGGATTTTTTTCTTTCTTTTCTGGGTTGCTGTGAATTTTTATCATGAATGAGAATATCTTTTTTTACCTTTTTCCTGCCATATACTAAGGTGATCATATAGTTTTTCTCCTTTAACCAAATTAAGTGCCATTTATAAACTTATTAATTCCCCTTTCAGTTATTGGTATAAACAGAACTTGATCATAGCTTTTTTTAATACAATGATGGATTAAGTTCACTATTTTGATATTTATATCTTTGCTTATGAGGGATAGTAAGAACCATAACATAGTTTAACTCCATTTATAACTATCAGCATCATTCCCAGGTCACAGGTTTTTCTCATCTAGCGTCCAATTCTTTGTAGCCATCAAGTTTATACGTTATTTTCACAGGCTATGTCTGTCAGTTTAGTTTTCTCTTTTGCATCTCTGGTCATGTATTTCACCTTCCTTTTTTACAAATTAAGAATTTTCCTTAGTGCAGCTATTATCCTAGTAAGTTTATTTGCCTATAAATGACTGCTTCCCTCGTGTTCTTAGAAGATATTTTGCTAAGTACACAATTCTAGATTGACAGTGTGGTCATCTGACAGCCATTGTCACTTTCAGGAATCTGCATTCATTCTAATTATTGTTTCTTTGATGTGATCTGTGATCCCACCCCATCTCCACTGCTTTAAGAGCTATCTTTTAGCTGGTTATTTTGCACTTTTATTATCTCTAAAGCTTGGCTTTCCTTTAACCACCCTTGGGATTCATTTTATTTTATTTCCAAGAAGTTTTTCATGAGTTTTCAATTCTACAATCTCTCCATTCTCTCCTAGATGCAAGCTTTTATTCCATCCAGCTTGTCTTTTTTTTTTTTTAACTTTCTGTGCTATCTCCCTAGTATTCAGGTTTTCCTTTAGTTCAGCTCTTTAATCTATTTCAAGTTGCTTTTGTTACCAGTTAGGCTTTGTTTCCTAGACATTCCTTTTTAAAAACCCAATTATCTGTTCATAAATACCTTTTGTTGATTGTTCACCTTTGATTGTGTGTATTCATACATACCTCAGGGCTTCAGGTGTCTACCTCTGTTGGTTGCCACTGCTCTAGATTGCGTTTTCTCTTCTCATGTGACTAGAAATACTCACTGACTGAACCTGACTAACTAGCATCTTTGGGTGACAATGTGAAGATGTAATGTTCCTCCCAAAATAATTTGAAATCATGTTTCACTTAGTCATGGGCATATATGCTAAAATGTCATTACAGTTTTGTAGTGGGAGCATCAACAGTGTTCTTAGACAAATCTATATGGTTTAGACCTGTCACTCCCTATGACCTTTTTGATGAATTCAGAAGGCACAGTGAACACAAGTTGTATGAGGTGTTTTATACTGTTTTATAAAAGAGCTTTTTTAATGAAAATTAAATGGAGCACATTTTAAAATCAGTATTACATTCTGTACATAATTGTAGATGCTTACTTTTGTGTGAGTGGCAGGACAGTAGATTTGCCCCAGCATTATTGCAATCCTGTTAATACTCACCCTAAGGCCAAGATGTCACCGACCACTAAGTGTCTTTCAGCTTGGGACCACCATGACATATGCAGTCTGTGGTGACACAAAAGTCATTGTACAGGACAATAAACAGCTAGAGGCACCACTGACTGGGGCCTTTCAGCTTTGAGTTCTAGACCACTTTCATGCATTGGTGTTAATAGAGAGCTCATTATTTTTCCTTAAAGCGTCACTATAATAGTCACATTGTTTTTAGGCAACTCTGCTCTCCTGGATTCCTGCTGCTTTAGCCCCAGTACCTCATTGTATCAGGTTGTTTACCCTATATAGATTTTCAGTCTGTATTTCCCTGATTAGTTCCATAGGATGTTGCTTAACATTAACATGTCCATTGTACTTCCTAGAAACTATTAGATCTAAAGGCTTAATCAGATTGGAGGTTGGGGGGGGGTCTTTTTTTTTTTTGTATTGAGAATCAAACACAACCTCACATTTGCCAGGCATGCAAAGTGCCAATGAGACAGGATTTCACTAAACTCACTTTGTAGTCCATGCTAGCCTAAAACTTGCAGAGATCAGCCTCCCAAATGCTGGGGTTACAGGGATGCATTACCATACTTGGCTGATAGGGAGGAAGGATTTTTTTTTAAATCTCAGTTTGGAGTATAGCAACTCTGTTTCATAGGAATAGTACATACATCCCTTGGAGTATGCGAGGTCCTTCTGTCTCACTTTTTGTAATGTTAGAATTCATTGATGAACAATGACTAGCTCCATCAGGTCTTGTAAAATGGTGATATTCTTTTATTTCTTCATCATTTTCACTTGGAATAGACCTGTAAAAGGAAACTTTCCAAAGCCAGACATGGTAGTGCATGCCTGTAATCCAGCATTTGGGAGACTGAGGCACAAAGTTCACCACAAGTTTTGAGGCTAGCTTGGGCTACATACTGAGTTCAAGATCAGTTTGAACTGTATAATGAGACACTTTCAGAAACCAAAAATAAAGGAAATGTTCCAAGTCAGCATTTTATTTTTCACAGGTAGAGTTTATGCAGGAAAGATAATTGATCCTTTACCAGCCTTAAAAAGTCGATTTTATACTATTCTCCCAAGATGATGCACTTTTACCTCTAGTAACCATATGGACTAACTTCAGTTTACTTTTGTTTCTTGAAACAGAGTATCACACTGTAATTTATGCTGGCCATGACCTAGGGGATTACAGGTGTGTGCCACCACACCCGGCCATGATTTAAACAAACCTGATGTTGTAATCTGTTAATGTCCACATCAGTGCTCAGATTGTTCCATCTTAGGCCAGTGGAGACATCTTAATTTCTAAGGTTGCTTAATGTAATTGCAACAATCTTTAATAGCTCCCTTGAATTCTTACGTATATTCTAATCATATCTAGAATGCCTCAGACCAGGAACCAACTATTTTGATGAAGTCTTTAGTTTAAGTATATAATATTTAGATACTACAGTCTGAGCACTGTATGTGATTGTAAGTACCAGGGTGATTGGTGTTGGTAGGCCTTTAGTGTTGGCAGTACTAAGGGAAATTTAGTTTTGAAGATTTAGATACACCACAGCTTTTTATTTAAACTTCAGTTGACTTGTACCTTTTCTTTCATTTTGGAAATTCAGCTGCTTTTTGTCTTCATGGTTATCCCACCATGTAGTCACCTTACTGGGAGTGGGGCTTTGGAACAGGCTAGGGAACGTAATCAATATTCCTAGATGACTGACCATTAACAACCTGTATGCATCACTGATCTACCCCTCTTATTTCCAGTTGGAAAGAGTGCCATCACCTGATCATCGGCGGAGAAGCTACCGAGACTTGGATAAGCCCCGTCGCTCTCCCACACTGAGATACAGGAGAAGTAGAAGTCGGTCTCCCAGAAGGCAAGGCACTAGTCCTTAGATTTTAAGTATCTTGGTTATGAGTTTTAAGTTCAGGGAAACAAAAACGCCAGCCTATGGAGAATGTTTGCTCAGTGCATTAGTTAACAATTGTTGCAAAACTATCACACATAAAACCTCACTAGCAGACAAAAACCATTTCTTTACTTCACAAGTATATGGTAAGTGATTGAAGGTGAAATTAAGAGATGTAGTATTTGGATTATAAGCTCTGTTTGCTGACCTTGTTCTGGCTGGTATACGCTGGCCTTTGCAAGGATGGCTGGGGTAATTTAATGTCTTTTCTGGGTCTCAGCCTCCAGCAGACTGTTAAGTATGTTCTCATGGTTGTGGCAGAATTCAATCATACACAAGTCACTGAAGCAGTTTTCCAGTATCTGCTTGTATCACATTTGCAAATACACTGTTGGTTGATGGCAAGGCACTTGGTTATTCCTAAAGTTAATAGACGGTGCTATAAAGTTACATGACAAAGGACATATACAGAGAAAGAGAAGTAAGAGTCAGGACCACTGGATTCATCTGCAGGGAACTGGGTTCAGTTTTGCAGTCTACAACACCCAATACACTAACTTTAGCACCTCTTTTCCTTTGCTCTCTGCAGGCGGAGTCGATCTCCCAAAAGGAGGAGGTAAGTCTTCAGCCATTTCAAATCAAGAAGGAAGGGAAGGGGTGGTAGTACTATCTATGTATCACCAAAGAGATCTGGCAGGCTGACCAGTCTCTTCCACAGTCCTTCACCCCGCAGAGAGAGACATCGGAGCAAGAGCCCAAGACGACACAGAAGCAGGTCCCGAGACAGACGACACAGATCCCGCTCCAAGTCCCCAGGTATAGCATTTGGGCTGTTTGTCACTGCTTGTCTTAATAAATCTAAGGAGCAGTTACCCTCCTACAGTATGGAAGTGCTTAACTATTCTGTTGCCTAGCAAAAGAAAAATGGACATGGAATTTGAAAATTAAGGCTTGCTAGCTGGAGATGGTAGCACACCCTTGTAATTCAGCACTGAGTGAGGCTAAAATAAAGGCCAGCCTGGGAAATTTAGCAATTTAGTAAGACTGTGTCCAAAAGTAAAAATAACCAGAGATGTAGCTCAAATGAAAAGACCTAAGGTTCAATCCCCAGTGCCACCAAAATGAAAAGAAAATGATCTTGAGTCCTATGAGTTTTGCTGATATGGTGGATGTTTCTCTTGTTGATGTGACAATACCCAAAATTAAAGGGGGAAAGGTTTATTTACTCCCTTCTTTCTTTTGGTTTGGAGACAGGGTCTTGCTATGCAGTTCAGGCTGACCTTGAATTTACTAGGTAGCTGAGACTGGCCTTGAACTCACAAGAATCCTTTTGCTTCAGCCTGCCTCTGCTTCCCAAAGTGCTGGAATTACAGGTGTGCGCCACCACACCCAGCTCAGAAAGGTTTATTTAGCTTACAGTTTTGTAGAGATTTCAGCCCATAATAGGTTGGTTCTAAAGCAAGGTGGCGTGGTACAGAGGCATCATAGAGGAGAAACAGCTCATAGTACGCAGAAGGTAATAAAGCAGCAAGAGGAATCTTAACATCTTTCTGCTTCATGTATCCAACCCTAAGGCTACCAGAATTAGGGCAGAGCCAAACCAATCAGTAGACTAATTAATCGCCCACCCTTAATCCTAACATTGTATCATGCATCAGCCACCTCTGAAAAAACCCCACCTATGACTGCATAAGACTTTGGGCGGGGGGGGGGGGGGGAATCCAGATAGAAGTCATAATAGTAAGCTTCAGTATTTTCATCTGAAATTACAGGAAAAAGGCCAAAAGGGTGGCAAACACTCAATGTAATGGCTCTGAAATTGGCTGAGTATTGTTGTACTAATTTCCATGCCACACATTACACTGCTTGTAGTAGTACTGCGAACAAGAGATCTTCCCACCATAAACTACCTTAGCAGTAAACCAGTGGGTGGGATTGGGGATGTGTCAATGATAGTTATAGCTGACTAAGATCTGACTCATCCAGTGACCTTTTCTTTCACAGGTCATCACCGTAGTCACAGACATAGGAGCCACTCAAAGTCTCCTGAAAGGTAAATATGGACTTCTATTTAAATATAAATCTTTGTTCAGAAATTGAAAGTTTTAATTGGGCATGGTGCACATACCTATAGCCCTACCATTAGGTAGCCTGAGGCAGGAGAGTCACTTTAAATTTGAGCCTAGCTTCCTTGCTTGGTGTATATAGTTAGTTCAATCCAGCTTGAAACACAGTGAGACCTTGTCTCAAAATAAAAACAACAGAAATTAAATCCCTCAAATATAACGAAGTTGGGCCTGAAATGTCCTTGTTTTGATGAGAGAAATGGAAATGGGAGTTCTCATTCATTTCAAAACAGCACTGGCATTTTCCTGAGAATTATTGTCTCTTTTGCACTTTTGTTTTTTGGTAGGGTTGTGGATTTTGGATAATGGGTTAACAGTAGTCTCAAAACACCTGATGGGTTTTTTTATTTGTGAGTAGGTTTTTTTCTTTTTTTCTTTTCAGTTTTTTGGTGCTGAAAGCCTGAACCCTAAGGCATCACGCTTGCCACATAAGCACATTGACACTGAGCGAAATACCCAACCCTGCCTTAGGGTTTAAGTACCAAGTTTTAAAACTTAGTGGTTGAGTGACCTTGGCCAAGTCATTTTCATCTGAACAGCTTTCACTGGAAATCACTGTGTAACTCTTAAGAGGTCGTTTCCTCACTGGTTATATTATCAATGCCAGACTTACAGTGTTCCTCTAAGATGGGGTGGCACTTTTAATAAATGTTAAGTATTCCCAAGTGTCTGCCAAGTGTCTGCATATCATAAGAGTTTCTCAAAACTCCTTCCTTGCCCCTTAATGATTTATATATGTGTACATATTCCATTTCAGGTCAAAGAAAAGCCATAAGAAGAGCCGGAGAGGAAATGAGTGATGAATTCACTGTGGGTACTTATGTGGAAGGATTAAGAGCTGCTCTCTTGGCAGCTATGTTATTTTTTTAAATGGAAGAGGTGCTGAAAATTTTGTATCTGTTTTTCAGCTGTAAACATCTTTGAAGGATGATGTTTTTTAAGGTCTGTTTTTGACCCAATCAACTACAACTATATTCAAACTTTTGTGACAAGAGTAGAAAGGATCTGGGAATTGGAGAGAAAAGATGAGGCTGTATTGGTGACCCTTTGCCTTTTTGTTATTAAACCTGAGACATCCATTTGACACTTTTTTGTAGTTGAGTTTTTGGTTTACTCCATGATTAGAACTACTTTGAAAATCCTTGAATTTGTGCTGTTGCTATTTATCAATGATCAAATCAGTCCAGCAGTAATTTCTTTTTTTCAACAACATCAAGTAGTAATAAACATGAAAACTGGCTGGTCCTCTGGATTAATTGATTGAGTTCTATCCAACAATTTCAATAGACAGTAGCCCTTAATACTCTTTACAACACATTTACATAGCGCCATTTTTCTCTTACAACTCTTAAAATGCAGATGCGTAGCCTGTAAATACTGACATTACCCAAGGTTAATTAATAGCAGCAAGATAGCAGGACAAAAATATTTAATGGAGGATTAGACACTGTGGCGCATTGCCTATATTCCCAACACTTGTGAGGCTGAGGCAGAAAGATCACCATGAGTACAGGCCAGCCTCAGCCACATAATAAGCGCAACACCAGCTTTAAGTACACAGTGAAACTCTGTCTCAGAAATCACACATGTACAATTCTAATGGGGAAAACTATCTCAGTTCTATTCATGGTTTTGGCTGAATTGTTGGACAGTACAACTAGTCACAAAGAAAATACAGTACAGTAGAAAGACATCTTTTAGAGGGGCAGGGAAAAAAGACAAAGGTGGTAATAAAAAAGATGTATTCACTTTAAAATTTCTTTTGAGACAGCAATGATGTATATAATCTAGCTAAGTAAATCCCAGATGGTGGGAAATAAGAGACTATAATTCAGCATAGTGATCTAGGCCAAGGTTGATGTTACAGCAGTTGTGGAAGATGTTAGTAAGATTGCCCAGGAAGTATATGTAGATAAGACTAGAACATAGAATGGCGCCATAGGCATCACCAGCACTGGTAACAAGCACAAATCACCTATTCAGACTGGAATAAACTACTCATAAAGAGAGGAAAATTAGGCAAGAGTAGGTCAAAGAAGCCTAGGGTGTAAGGACACAAAAGCAATGTAAATACTTTTAAAGTCCCTAGGTACTGATAAAAATATCAGGATGTATCCTTAAAAAGTTCCTTTTACCTGTACTTTCTTTCCTCTTTAGAAGGGAAAAAAATGATTAAATAACCTCTTACAACTTGTATCCCCAGAAGGAGTTGCAAAGTTGCAGCCCTCCAAGATCCAGCTTTTCCAGGCAGGTCTGGGTATCTGGGCATAGGATAAACACTTCTACTGCTTGTAACTGATCTAAAGAACTTTTGTAGCAACATTAAAGCATTTTTTAAAAATTATTTGAGCTTTAATATTCTTCAATGGATCATCTTATACCTGCATTATTAAAAGTTATTCCTAAGTGCTGTTATGAATTACGATACACTTTTGACACTTTTAAAATTAAATGTAAGCATCTCTGTTCAAAGCTATTATAGACTCCTAGCATTTCTTTTTTAGGTGGTGAAGCAAAGGTCTTTGGCCAAAGGATCCATGGACCAACCAGGTTATCTGTTAAGTAAAAACCCTCAAAGAAAAAAAAAAGTTATTTCAAACATAAAATCCAAAGCATATGTAGGTATGTGATAAAAACTGGACTAAAGCCAGGCATGGGTAACTCCAGGACTAGAAGCCTGAGGCAGGAGGATTGCCCCAAATATGAAGACAGCTTAGATTACCCAGTTCTAGGCCAGCTTGAGCTACATAATGAAATGAGCACCTGTGGGGGTCAGGGAGACTGGACTAAAAATGAGGCAGCATGACCAACCTATAGCAGGAAGCAAAGTGAACCTATTCTTTTATTAGAACAAAGAGTAACGGCCACTGGGGGTGTCATCATACACTGGTTCCACTTGGGAGGTTCAAGGCAGGATCCCTGAGTCCAGGTGTTTAAACCTAGCCTGGGCAACAGTTTAAGACTCTTTTAAAACACTTAACTGCCAGGCATAGTGGCACATTCCCAGTACATAGGAGGCTGAAGCAGAAGGATCATGAGTTCACAGCCAGTCTGAACTACATAAGGCCCTGTCTCAAAAACACAAAATACAAAACAGAGCATGTAAGTAACTTCAGAAACTAGCAATCCAGCAATTTCATAATCCTGATGAACTGAAATAATTATGTGGGAATTGAAGTAGAGAAAGCAAGTCATTCTAGGGAAAAGCAAATAAAAATAAACAATGTAAAAACTTTTAATGTAGCAAGGTTCAAATTAAATACCAACACTATTACAGAAAAATAAGTAGAGAAAAATCCAGTATGCTAGATTCATCTATAGTTGGATCCAGATACAACTTAATTAAAACATGAAACAAGAAAACACCCTTTCTAGTGTTTCCCTTAACTAATCTTATTTTTAGGAGGAATATTTGTCTTGGGAAAAATAAAGAACATTTTAGTTCCTATTAAATTCAGATTAACTTACCTTATTTCTTAAATATTGCATATGAGCCCACTTTTATACAACTTTTTGTGAAGCAGAGGTGGTGGCACACGCCTGTAATGCTATTACTCTGTGATGCAGAGGCAGGCACATTGAGAGTTTAAGCCTAGTCTAGGCAACTCAGCAAGACCCTGTCTCAAAATTTTAAAAATTACTCTGAAGGCTCGGGATTAGCTCAGCAACATAAGTGCCTGCTTGGCAGACACCAGGTTGTGAGGTGGATCCCTGGCACCAAAAAAAAATTCACACGCCCTTGAAATTGTGTATACGTGTTTCTATTCTGAATAATAGCAAATTTCTAACAAGCTTTTAAGTGATTTTGTTATTTGGTACTTACATACAAAGCCTTGGGGGTTTTTTTTGGTCTTTTTCGTTTAAATCAGTACCAGGGATGGAACTCAAAACTGCCTGCTTGCAAGGCAGGCACTTATGCCGCTGAGCTAAATGTCCAGCCCCAAGCCTTCTTTCTTCAACAAATTTTTTTAATAAGGAAACGTTACTAGGAATTTAAATCTTTTAAAAAGCAGACCAGCAAATTTGTGTTGCTTATTACGAATTACAAACATTATCATTTATCTGAAGGGCAGTTAAGCAATATGTACCAGGAGTATACTCAGTTTTTTACTAAATAATCCCATTTTTAGGAATTCTCCATAAAAGCATAAATACACAAGCAGCTATATCCCACTGTATTTAGAACCAAAGCAATAAAAAAAAATCCATCTTAAATAAATGAATTACATAGTGTTTCTAGTATATTTTTGAATTCTCAATATAGCCACATTAAGCATACAAAATATTTTTTTAAATATGATCTTAAAGATTTTTTCTGGGTAATTTTATCCAGGCAGGTGTGGTAGCATATACTTGTAATACCAACACTCCGGGAAGGCTGAAGTGGGAGGAAGGCAAATCTAAGCCCGGTATAGGCACCTTAAGATCCTGTCTCAGAACTTAAAAAGGGTAGGGATATAGCTCTGTTCAAAGGCTCTGGCCTCAAACAAAAAGAAAAAAAAAAAATTTTTTTTTGCTCTATAATGCATCCAAATTTATACTCAACTTTGTAAACTTAAAAAAAAAAAAATAAGATGATTCTGTTGTTGAATCTGGCAAAGTTTTTCCTAATTAAAAATTGGTAGGTATGGGGAGTCCGGAAGAACATGGCGGATAGATAGCAATAGCTTCGGAGGCTCTGGTAAACCCCACTTGAAATCCGGGAATGGGGCCGGGCAGGAAGTCCTAGGCAAGGGAGGATATTCTTTGCCGACCCAGGAACGAACTAAATTAAGAGAAACCAACTGGAAATGTAATCCCGGTGGTACAGCAGGAACAGATAAAGTCTCAGCACAGAAGCTGGACCCCGCACCACTGGAAACAGCGATTTGAATTACCTGCAGCCACTGTTGCGTCCTGGCCCGCACAGCAGGGAGAGAGGCGCGAAAGCTTGGAGAGTGGGAAGCATTGGAAGGAGTTGGGAACAGGACTGGCCGGCTGCCCTGCATCAACCTGCGGTGAGTGAGCGAATCAGGACCCTTCCATAGAGAAGGATGCTTCAGAGGAGGACATACTCAGACGTGACAGACTTCCCGGAAAGAGATGCTGCAGTAACTTCAGTCACATATCCCCCTCTCAAGCGGGATTGGTGGAGTGCCTGGCCTGGGAGACGCCGCTAGCTGAGACGCAATAGGCTAGCCCAACTCAGGTCCCAGTGCCTGGAGGTGCACCCTAGTGGTGAAGCCTTCAGTAGGTTGACCTGGAGGGGCGGGCCCAGCATAGACTGCCCAGGTCCTTGTCTCCCTGGTGCGTTGCAGTGGGCGGGAACACCTAGCCTGCACAATTCAAACAGACTGTGGCTGACAGGGAAGGAAGCTGGGCCTCCTATACAAACTTAAATGTAAGGAACAAAGAATATGGGAAGAGGGAGCAACAAGAAAGGGTCCTCGGCCCCTAATCCTGAGAAACATACAATAGCAGACGCGGCACCAATAGACACAAAGTGCTATCTCCAGAGCCTCATAGAGGAGTTCAGGAATGAAGTTATTAATGACCTGAAACAAGACAAGCAGAATAGTTACAGAAATGCTAAGTACTGCCCAAGAAAAGACAGATGGTGGAATGGAAGAACAGAAAAAAAGGGAAGACTTGTTGGATGGAGAAAATAGAGAAAACATAGAATACATAAAGCAGGTTCAAAGAGATTACCAGGAAACTAAAAACTCTATCGAAGACTGGCATAACAGCTTGAAAGAAACTGAGGACAGATTATCTGAACTGGAGGGCAGATTTGTAATATGGGAGCACAAAATGAAAAACTTCTTAAAAATAACAAAAAACCAAACAGCAACAATACAAAAACTAGAAGATGATAAGAGGATCTATAACTTAAGAATTAACAGAAGAAGTGGGGACACAAACAAATGGACTACAAAAGCTATTCACAGAAAAAATCCAAGAGAATTTCCCTAATTTAGCAAAAGGTAAAGATACTCAGATATATGAGGCATACAGGACTCCAGCCACCTACAACCCAAACAGAGCTACACCCAGGCATGTAATAATCAAAATTCCAGAAATCCAATATAAGAACATAATATTAAAAGCCGTCAGAGACAAGAAACAGATCACTTACGAGGGAACACCCATCAGAATTACAGCAGATTTCTTGGCACAAACCATCAAATCACAAAGAGCGTGGGGAGAAATAATTCAAGCTTTGAAAAATAATAACCTCCAGCCAAGACTGATATATCCTGCACAACTGTCCCTAGAAATTGATGCAAAAACAAGGTGCTTCCAGGATAAAGAGGAACTAGGGGAATTTGCAACCACTAATTCAACTCTACAGAGAATACTGCAGGATATTCTAAAAAAGGAAAATACCAAGATTCCAGAAATAATGGCAGAGAGGCCACAATGAATGCAGCAGAAAACGAAATGAAGAAGACAAACTGTCAACAAACGACAGAGAAAGATCTCAACAGAAATGAGGCAGAGAAGATTGGATGGTATGAACAGTTATTTTGGAGAAAACAAGACATCATAATAGCTAGTGCTGATTTAATATCATCTTGTTTTGAAGTCCAATCAAGCTTGTATTCTTCTGTCTCCATCGGTCTTTCACTTTTTTTTTAATGACGCCCATTCCAGTTGAGTATTATTTTCTTGTAAAATCCTGTAATGTCTCCAATGCTTTGGTTCTATTCTTTACTGTTTAGTTCAATTTTATTATAACTGCCAATTCTTCTTAAAATAGCAAGAGGCAGTATGGTAACCATTGTTGATCAACTTATATTTTGTTTTTACATTATCTATTATGTCTATCCTTTTGATTTAACTGACTCTGTTCTGACATGTCGCATTTGGTTTTACTCTCTTCAAAAAAAGTAGTAAGAACTGTGGGAGTAATAAAACCCAAAATGTGTAATTGTCACTGTACAAAAGAAAAGAAAAGAAAGTGCTCTAAAGGTTATAACTGCATATAGGTTTAAGTGTACAAGATAGATAACCATTATTTTACCAAGTGTTTTTTGGATCATTAAACAAAACTGTTTGCACTCTGTTTGAAGGTCCACTTTATATGCTTCAATTCTGTAACTTGAACAACTATTTCTAAGATGAGAATATGTAATCTATTAACTAGTGATTTCTTACTGTTTATTTTTTAAATTTTGTATTACTTGTACCCTTTTTGTTTTTTTCCTTTTTCTCCTTAAATAAAAAAAAAAAAAAAACTGGTAGGTATGGAAGGAAGCTTGAATGAGATGTTGATTAGTCTATATAACAGTATTATATAAGCAAAACCCTAGTTACCAGTCATCAGATTACCCATTAATATCCCACTTATATCTAGTGTTCCAT